ATTAATCTCACACCACATGGTTTTGATTACTGCTGCTTTGTAGTATAGTTTGAGGTGTGGAAGTGCTTATTTCCCCTTCCCCTACTTCATCATTTCTCTTGATGTTCTGGATCATTTGTTGTTCGAAATTAATTTTGTTATTTCATCATCCTTTGGTAATCCGATTGGTATAGCATTACAGGTTTAAATTCATTTTAGTAGTAAATTCATTTTTTGTCATTTTTATTGGTATGACCTAATGGATGAATATTCCTTGAGCTATTTAGATTGTCCTTTATTTAAAGGAGCACTTTGTAATCGATTCTGTACAAGTCTTTGTGTTCTTTGGGAGGTCAATCCCCAGATATTATGCATTTTGTAGTTATTTGGAATGGGATTTCCCTTTCTATTATTGCTTCGTGTTTATCATATAAAAGTACTGCTGATTTATTTTGCCTGTAACTTTGCTGAAGCTATTGTCAGAATTAGTATGTTTGCTAATTCCCTGTTATTTTTGGGGGGGGGAGAGGTCAGCGGGTAGTAAACCATCATATTGGCAGTAAACAGCAATAGTTTTATCTCATCTTTGTCTTTATTCCTTTAATTTTTTTTGTCTTGTCTTATCGCCATTGCTAACATTTCTAGAACTTTATCAAGTAATAGTGGAGAGAGTGGGTATCTTTGCTTCATTCCCATATTTATTGGAAGCTGTTCTTGTGTATTCCCATTGCATATGATTGCTTTTGATTTTAGATAGATGCCTTTTATGACATTTTTAAAAAGGTTCCTCTATGTCTATACCTTGTAGAGTTTTTAGCATAAAATAGCATTGAATTTTATCAAAAGCCTTTTCTGCACTAAAAGGACCATGTAGTTTTGGATGTTTTGGATTTTGATAAATTATGTTGATTGTTTTCCTAATGTTGAACCATCTTTGAATCCCTGATATAACTCCCATTTGGTTATAATTCCAGAGTTCTTGAGTAAATCTCTGTAGTCTGATAGGATTTTGTTTAAAATTTGAGTCAGTATTCATTAATGATATTGGCCTGTAGTTTTCTTTCTGTGTTGTATCTTTCCCTGGTTTAGGTATTGTGACAATATTTGTAAATTTTTTTGAAACAGACTGTATTTGTCTCATAAAAGGTACTTTCTCAGTTTTTGAGAATTTGTAAAGTATGGGTGCTAACTATGCTTGAAAAGTTTGGTAAAATTCTCCTGTGAATCCATTAAGACCAGGAGTTGGTTTTTTTGTTTCGTTTTGTTTTTTCCTGGATAGTTCCTTTACAGCTAGATGTATTTCCTTTTCTGAGATTGGGTTATTTAAGATCTTTGTATGGTCTTCTCATAGCTTGGGTATTTTATATTTTTGGAAGTATTCCTCTATTTCTTTTGTGTTCTTAGTTTTGTTGGTACGTGTGTGTGTGTGTACATATATAATTATGCATAATATGTTCTGATTCTCTTTACTTCTGGTTCTGCTGTGATTTCACCTTGCACATTTGCTATTTATTGATTTGATTTTCTGCTTTCTTTTTTAAAATCAGATTAGCTAAGGGTTTATCAGTTTTATTAGTCTTTTCAAAAGCACTAGCTTTTAGTTTTATTTATCATTTCTATGGCTTGTTTTGTTTCAAATTTATCTATTTCCCCCTCTAATTTTTAACATCATCTCTTTTGTGCTTGTAACATAAGCTTTCAGTGCCTTTTTTAGGAAAGGGCCATTACCACCTGAGAGAAAGGGGGTGGATGTTTTCTTTTTCCTACATAAAAAATGTTTTTAAAAAGTAATAAATTGGAGTAGAAAGGATGCTGGACTGTGTCACAATGCCTAAACCAGCAAGGTTTTTTAGTCAGAGGTCCTGGATTTAAAAAAAAAAAAAAAAAGGTTCTCCTTATCTGGATGATTTTAAGACATTTTCTAAAATGGAATTTAGGTCCATTTTCTAAACTTGGTTATCTACTACTTGCAGAGCACATAGTAGGTGTTTAATATTCATTGAGTGAATTGAGGAGTACAGTTGGTGGCATCATTGAGTGAATTTATTGAACTGAGGAGTACTATTGGTGGCATAAGTGACTTACATCATGGATTAAAATAGAGCCACTGGGTAATAGCACTGCCTTTATGGGAATAGCAGGCTGAAATTCCAAACAATTGAATTCACTGCTAAGTTGAGGCCTACATGTAAAATGAAATTTTTTTTTTAAAGTCATTCTTCCTGTTCTTTGAAGAAGCACTAGGGCCAGAGAAAACAAAAACTAAACACTCTATAGGCTTTCATGGCTTAGGGGGTGGTTTTTTTGTTACTGTTTTTGGTGGTGTTTAAATATTTAACAAGAAGAACACCTCTTGGAACGTCTGTCTGTTTGAAGCAGCAGGAGAAAATTAAGTACTTGCAAGATCTCTCCAGGGCATTGAAGTGTAAACTATGGAAAAACACAAACAGGAAGAATCAGTAATACTGGCTAGAACTGAGTCACCCCCACCCCTGATCCAGCCTAGGAACTGGCGATGTTTAGTTTGTGGTGCTGGAGCATCCAGAATGTTGTTCTTTCCGGTTGGGGAGGGTGATGAGTCAGGCTTCCTGAGTTGGGGACGGGGCAGGAGGACAGAGCACAATGCCTTGCCGTGTTTGATTATTTCCACGGCGAGCCTTGAGTACAAATGTGACCCTACCATAGGTCTGGGAAGCAGGCCAGGGAGAGTTGCCACCTGGCCGTATTTGATCAGCTAGGTAAATATCATCACCGTGCTGAGTTCATCCTGAGAGATGCTCTCGGGAGCACCTGTCTTTCTTTTCCCTGGCACCTGGCAGGGCTGTGGAAGGGCTTCCTTTGGGGCTCTGGGGATGGATTCTGAGGGAAGATGCACATTCATTGGAATTTGTATAACTCTGCTTAAATTTGGGGTTGCAGGGATGGTACCATAAGAAAACTAAATAATAGTAAATAATAGCATAATAGCATTCAAAGGCAAATGCTTTCTTTTTGGTTTTTTTTTTTTTTAAATCTGACATGGACCTCACTTCTCGTGCTCAGAGGACAGAGTTTCAAAATCTCAGCTTTGTTCTTTATTGCTTGTGTGATTTGGGGCAAGTCATTTCTTTTATTCGGGCCTCAAGTTTCCTCAGCTGTATAATGAGGGGGTCAAAGCCCTAACATTATTTTTTCATAGGCTCTGACATAATGCATTATGTACAGTTGTTTCACAGTCTGCATACATACCATTGTGTAACATACTAAACTTGTTTTCCTTTAAATACCACTTATACACCCCCCCAGTGTATAATTAAAGTTTAAAATTGCACAAGGACCTTATAAAGGTCCTGTAATTATTATCTATATTTGTATATTATATTTTTGTAGCTATATAATTATATGTGAGCAATAGCTCAGACCAGTCACCAGGAAAGTAATGATTTTATGTCATAGTTTAGCAAAATTTGACTCCAAATAGCCCAGAAGAAGCTAAGCCCTTGCAAGTCATTAGTGAATGAAGGGAGGGGGGAGGTGTCCTTTAGTAGAAAAATATTCTTTTCAAGATTTATGGCTTCACTTTTTTCTCCCCTTTGATTCTGGTTTCAGCTCCATTATTATGAATTTGTGGGTGACGTAAGCCTCTCCAAATTTGGAATAATTCCATTGCAAATGATTTCACAATCCATTAGTGTAATCATTTACTCCTGGGTGACTGCCTGGCCCCAATTAAATGATTGTGGTCTTGCCCTCCACCGGCTTCTGTTGCCCCAAACTTGGTGAAGACAAGGTGGGAGGTGATTGAAACCAGTCACAATGCCAGCAACTGTTAACTGCTTGTTAAATAATGCATGTTGCTACTTCTGAGTGAAGTAGATAGGTTAGTGATAACTGCCAGCCTAAGGCATAGTTGTGTCCCCTATAGCTTGGTGATCTATATCCTAGTAATGAAATTTATACCTATCCATGTGTATAAGGTATCCCAAAAGTCTTAGTGCAGCTGCAAGTGAATAAGGCTTCAAACTGCCTCAAGACTTTTGGACACTGATTATGTATGTATGCATGTAACTTAAACATTATGAAAGCACTATATAAAGATAGAAGTGGTATTGTCTTCTGTAATCGTGTCACCATCAGGCTGGTAGAGGAAGTGACAATGAGTCTTGGAGATTGGCTCCTGATTTTGGAATTGATACGGAGGTATGCCCCTTCCCCTTTATGCAAAACTGATACGTGAAAATCCAACTTTATAGGAAAGATAAATGAGATCAGATTACACAGAATTGCCAAAGGATTTATTTTTAAAGTTGGCCCCCTTAATGTGTTTAAAGATTATTTCCAATTTATACAACTTGGGAAAGAACATGTTTTTATATAAAGTAAGCTCCAGAAAGATAAGAAAGAGGGTAGATTGTATGTAGCCCAGAACTGTCAGTGTCAAATACATGACCTCCAGTGCTGGCGGGCAGGAGAACCAGATTAAAATATAAATGGGTAATAGTTAACAAAATAAAAACAATGAAACACTAAAACTAAGTTAATACGTGTGTCAGAAAGGGTCCTTGTGTATGGGCTGGTGGCCTCTGTTCCTATTCAAGTCAAACACCTCTGCTGCAGCCTCGTAACCTTGGCAGGATGAAGAAGAGAATCTGACCAGCTCAGCTCAGGCCCTCAGAAACAGGCCAGGTGAGTCCGTCTGGAATTGGTCATCAGTCATGCTTAGGTCACCTTGGTTCCCTTTGAACCCATCGCCAAGTTGGTGCCATTCTTCATAGTGGGGGGGGAGGAAAAAATGGGGGAGAAAGACCTTACGTGTTCCCTCTCCAGGCTGTTGCCCAACTTTCTGTTTGATCAATTGTTTTCCTTGGTCCTCATGGTCACTAAACAACTTGAGGAGAAAGCACCTACCACGTGTCAGGCACTGTGATAAGTGCTTTTTACAAATATTGTCTCATTCAGTCCTCACAATAACCCTGGGGAGGGAAGGTGCTGTTACTATCCTCATTTTACAGGTGAGGAAACTGCAGCAAACAGAGGTTAAGTGACCAGGGTCATAGCTAATACGTGTCTGAGGTCAAATTTGAACTCTGGTCTTCCTCACTTTAGGGCACAGTGATCTTTTTACTGTGACACCAGCTGCCTCTGCAAAAAGCTCTGAAAGCAGTTCAATGCAGAACACACTGGAGATATTAGTGATTCAAATTTGGTTAATTTTAGGAATCTGCTGCTGCCATTAATGATTTTTTTTTCCCCACAGAGCTTGTGAACTGATTCCTGGACCAATCATTTGTAAAGAGTGAAAAAGAAGCATATGCAGACTTCTGAAACTTAAGAAAATGAGGGCATTTTTCAGGGGGTCAAGCAGAGTTTCTGAATCTGTAACCATAGCAGCCATTTAAAAATCTCATTCAGCTGATCTGGTGCTGGATTCCTGCTGATTGCCCAATGGTGTGATCCAGCAGAGTGGAGGGACACAGGTTACAAGCAATGATGGGAAGTCTGTAAAGCTCTGAGGTGTAAATCTCTCCCCTCTCCCTTGCTTACCCCAGCCTTTGAAGTGATGAGCAGGAATTTCTGCTGATGGCCAGGAAGGGGCACCCTGGGCAACCACTGGCTTTGGGTTTCAGGATTGGCAGGCTGCTTAGAGTTCTTTGAGGAATGAAGCATTTTCTTGTGTGTCCAAGATCCCCAAAATCCAGATGTATGCCACCATCATCTTCCCAGGCAGGAAGTGGGGTTGGGTTCTGTTAATGGATTGAGACCTGGGGCAATTTTAAGAAATAACTGTGGGATGGCCTTGAGAATTATGGATAGTATTTGTACTTGACTCAAGTCAGGAAATGTCTATTATAATTCCCACCTCACCAAAATGTGGTAAAAGCTTTGGGACTTCACTCTTGGTCAATTGTCTTATCTCTAAAAAGGCATTTATATAACCTGTTCCTCCTACCTCATGGACAAGTCACTCTAAACTCTGCCTCAGTTTCTTCCTCTGTAAAAGGGGATAATGATACCTCTTTACCTCATAGGACTGTTGCAAGGTTCAAATGAGATAATGTGTAAAACTCTGCAAATTTTAAAATGCCATGCATGTCTGTTGTTTTATGGGAAATGGCCCTTTTCATCTTGGAATTGTTCTGGAAAAGAAATTAAAGAGTATAAACTTATCAGCCAAGCAAAGCATTTTCACAATCCTCATACACAATTAATCTTAGGGTGCAAATTAAGAAGGAAGTCAGACTGTTCTAGTTGGAAGGAATCTTAGAGACCATCTAATTCAAAATTCTAGCTTTTTAGATAAACTTAGGACCATGAGGTTAGAACTTGCCCAGGGAAACAGAGCTTGTTGGCTAGTGCGAGGTGCTGATGATTAAAAGGACTAAACCCCTTTTGGGGGGAAGGGGGATGTACCATCTCCACCACTTTGCTTCAGCTGCTCTCTGATCCAGGTTCAGGTGGATCTACTCCTGGCCCCAGCCACAGCAGCAAAAGGGATACCTTTGGCATCATTTCCTCACTGCTTTTTCCACATGGAAAACTGTGAATGTCACAGCTGTTCTGGCAGAAATTTGCCTAGAACTTGAGAACTCATTTCAGACTTCAGAACTGCCACTAAGAACATTTCACCTCAGAGGTCAGGGTTGGAGGTCCCTGCTCAGAAAACTGGTGTCTTGGAGGGGAATTGTAATCCAGTCTTCTGCCCGGTGTTGTCAGAGTTTCCTGGCTGCCCTGTCTTGGGTTAGCTTTTCCTCAGGGAGCATGTCTGGGATCATGTCTGCACTTCTCTCTGCTTTCAGAACTAGCCAAGGGCATTGATCTTGTACCTGCCTCAGACCCGCTTGGCTCACGTTCCGACAGAAATCCACATGAAGGGTCCTCAGTGAGTGCCCATGAGCGGTCACAGCGGTCAGTGTTTGGTTGGTGATCCGAACACAGTTTTCCAGTTTGAGGGTCTGGAGGTTGGGGCAACTCTGGAGCAATAATGCAATGCATTCATCGGTGATGTGGCCACAGCCAGAGAGTGTCAAGGACAGGAGGTTGGGGCACCTGAAAGACATGATATAAGCATGGGAAGGGAAGAGTGAAAACAAGCCAAATTAGACTCCCTTCTGCATGTCAGTTAACAGGATGGCTTTCCAAACTAGAACTATTTGTCTTTGCCATAAGGTGGAGGATATTCCCCTCCAACCTGGGAGGGACAGTTATTGAAGCAGCTGGCAGGATTTTCTTGTATTTGTTGGTTGGCATCTGAAAACCAAGAAAAATTATTTATATTGCTTCAAAAACTGTTCCTTCTGAACAATGGGAAGTAATTTCTCCCTTAATAAAATGAGATTTATCAATTATCTGCACTCAGAATGTCCCTGGACCAGTAGGATCAGGATTGTAAAAAGCAAGTTGTTTACTCTCACCCTATATAGGGTCCTTCTCTGTCCCCTCAAATCTGAAAAAAATCAGATTGCTTAAGGGAGAAGATAAAGTCACTGCCCAGCTTGGCTGACCACGTTTATGGGGTTGGAGAATGAGCTGTTGTATTGAAGGCACTTCCTTCTAGAGAGATCCTCCACCCGCTTGCCTGCAGACAGCATTTTTTCTGACAGCACCTGCAGAGAGCTCCTGGGGTTGAAAGACCCAAAGGCTGCATGCAGCCTGATCTGTTTACCATTTGTAGATAAAAAGGATTAAGCTTTGTTCTTTCATCCTAAGGATGCTGCAAACTGCAGATGCACCCCCTGCCTCGATCCTAAAGATTTCCTTTATTTAAATAGGTAAAGTTTGTCTGGTTGTTAATTCATTGCTAAACATTTTAAAATGCAGTGCTCTCATACATGCCCATCTGTGTCCTCAGCAGCTGAAGTTGCTGACCAAAGATGAATTCAGGACTTGCTCTGATTCTTTCTTTTTCTAGATTGATTTAATGTTTTCAAGAAGAAAGACATGGGAGCTGACATTTTTTTTCATCCTGTAATTTAGCTAGAAAAAACAGTAGACCTGAAGTAGACAACAATAATAAGCCCAGTTGGATTTTCCATTGCAATTAGCAGCTGGGTTAAGTTTAAAAAAAAAATTATTTAAAGGTTTTGTTTTACCTTTGTGGGGGGAATGGATGAGAGGAGACTCATGATTGCTTTTAGTGAAATGCTTAATTTGCTCGATCTATAGGTTCTTTGGAGGCTTGGATTCCAACAAGGGCATTGCCATATCAGAAAAACTTCATTGACTTACAACCCCTTTAGCCTCTAGATCAGCAAAGATGATGGATGTTGAATTCTTCCTTCCTGGGTTCTGTATTTGTCATGTTCTCTACAGACCAAACTCTGAGGGGAGAGTTAGCTGGCTATATACTACATTTGTCAAGCTTGTTCTCCATATAGGAAATGGAACATGTGCCAGGGTTATTTTAGGGCACTAGTTCTCATCTGGTTCTTTGGATACCAGACTGGGCTAACTTATCAACAGTGACACATGAAACTCCTAGTTCTCTCTGGAACATACACAAGTCCAGTGCGTAACAAATGGGCCTGCCCATCTTTAGGAGCAGTTGATTTCTCAATCTTATTTACCATCTTATCCACAAAGCTGTTCTTCCCTATTACTGTGAGTTATTTAGGTTGCCTCTGCCCCTGTTTTCTGATTTCTCCCCTGAAATACTGAAATCTTGGCCTTGTTTCTTGGCCTTGTTTCTTTTTTTACCAAAGGAAACCCTGGGTTTCCTTTTAGTCCTGTTTCTTGGAAAGTGAAAGTCTGATACTTCTTACTATGGGAAAACATGTTAGCAATTTATGACAGCTGTGACCCAAGCCTGCCCTGCAAGGCTGAGACTGCTCTCTAGTTGTCGAGGCCGACTCTGTGATAGGCCAGATGCTTTTCCTATAGAATTGAATGGAGACTGCAATGCAAGATGATTTTTCATCCATTTTAAACAAAATAAAAAAACCACCTCAACCAATCTCTCTAGGTCAATTTGGAGCTTCCCTATGGTGGCGATGGTGGCCCTCAGGACCTCAAGAGAGCTGGAGATATTCTGCAAGCTCTTAGAGTATTTGTTGCCAAAGAGTTAAGATTGGAGTTACTAACAGACAGCTGTCCATCAACCACACTCCACCTACCTGTTGCAAACTTTCACTAAAAAGTCACTGGCGAGGTGCTCGTGAGTGCTGCAAACACCTTTCTGCAAGGCATTTTTCATCCAGTCTTCAACGTTGCATACCTTAACTTGGCTCGAATGCCAGCAAATGGACAAGCACCTTAAAGCGGGGCTCAGGAGGAAGTTATCTTTTTTCAGTTCCATGAGAGAATTAAAATGCAGCAGCGGCCAGAGCAAAGGATCAAGAAACACATCCCACAAGTGAGAGCAAGTCTTTGCTAAATTCTTCCTGCTGTCCTTGTCCAGGAAGGAAAATAAATGTAAAAGACATTCCCGGTTGAGCTGAGTTATATGCATGGCAGGAACAAAAGCACTTTGTTAGGGAAGAGAAGCAACAGTTGTGCCGGGTGTGCCTGCTGTGCTGAGACGAGTCTGGGGGGCCTGACCTGCCTCCTTCTGGGGCCAGGGCTGGTGGACATATATGGCTGAAGAATGGTGTTTATTTTTGGCCAACAACTGGTGTTGAAGGTTTGTGTGTGTGTGTGTGTGTGTGTGTGTGTGTGTGTGTGTGTGTGTGTGTGTTTAAAAGAAAAATGGAAAATTCAGAAGTACATCAGACAACCTGAGAAGACAGTTTGCATTCAAAAAGCCTAGCAGATCTGCCAAATAAAGTTAAAATAATTTTTTTTCCTTAAAAGGAATTTATTTTCCTTTTAACCAACAATCATGTAACAAAGGGATAGCTTTTTGGTAAGAAGTTTGTTTTGGTTTGTTTTGTTTTAAGTAAGAAGCTTTCGAAAGATGTGGCTCCCCATATGCACTCTGACTAGCTCTAAAGTGGACAGGGTTGTGTTTGTAAATATTAAGAATGATTGGAGGTTGGGAATATTGGGTAGTGCTTAAATATGAAATTTCATTCACATCCTTAAAAGGAAAAGGCTTGTCCTATGCACAGAGCAGAGTAGATTTCTATTTTTAGAACTATATTGCCCCAGTCTGTTAAAAGAACCAGTGATTGTTTCCCTCCCTTCCATCTTGCTTTTACAAAGAGATTGATAGGTTCCAGGTCAATTCCAGACTGTTCCTATTATACCCCACCAAGGTAAACAGGTTATCTTTGGTTTTTAGGAGGTTTATTTTTAGCCCAACTGATAGTTTATAGAAAAGTGGCTTATCTCTTAAACTGAGAGCATGGGATACATGTTTCCAAGCCTAGTTACTTTTAAGACATAATACTGTATTAGCTTAGGAATATTGTATTTTCTGTAGTTTTTATAAGCAGTTGGTGTGTGCCCTGGTAAACTATAATTTCCCAAGTGCCACACATCCCATATAGTGGGTTTTTTTTGGCACACATTTGTTTAATGAACAAATGTTAAAACTTAAGCTTAATCATTTGACTCTATTTGACTTGAACAAGTCAAACGTACTACTGGATTTGAGGACAGGAACTATATTCAAATCTTACGTAGAGGCTCGTTGGGTGTCATAGGTTAAGTCATTCACTTCCCTGACCCCAAGTTCTCCTCTCTGTAAAATTAGGAGCATGCATCTTGAAGTACTATCTCAAGACCCACTGAAGCATTTCAATGCATGGTCCAGTTCAAGGGGAAAGGACTTGGGTAAAGAAGGGTTTTAATGAAGCCCCCCGGGAGATTCCCTATTTTGTTAGCTTGGCTCAGTAATCTTCCCCAAGCCCTCAGGAACACGTTCCACAGCAGGGAGTTAATGATGGGCTATTAAGTTTCAGATAACCAGAATTTTTGTTATCAGTGTGTTCAGTCTCTATCTAATTGGACCTTTTCACCTTGGAAAGCAGGCTGTGTATCCACCTGCTTGATGGAGTAGTAATCCTTATTCAAAAGCTCTCCCTCCCAGTTCCTTTCTAAACCAAACCCTGTGGCTGAGGATTTACTACTCACTGAGAAGAGGTGCTGCTGGGGGTTTTCATCCAAGAACTCAAGTCAGAACATTTGAATCCTTCCTCCTGCCTGGCAGCACTCTAGTCATTTAAGGTTTCTTTGGCCCCTACTCCATCATCTCCAGAGACACCAAAACATAAGGATGACATTCAAGCCTCTCTCTCCTTTGTGACTGTAAATTACAGTAAGGGAGGGAAAATACCATTATTTAATACCTACTACATACCAGGCACTGTACTAAGTGCTTTAAAATATTTAATTCTTACAACAACCCTGGGATGTAGGTGATGTTATTACCCCCATTTTGCAGTTGAAGAAACTGAGGCAAGCAGAGGTTAACTGACTTGACTAGGGTCACTTAGCTACTAAGTATCTGGGGCCAGGTTTGAACCTCGGTCTTCCTGATCCAAGGCCAGTAGACATTTATAGTACAGGTGAAGCTGTAAGTTTATCTAAACACACACGTCCAAACTACAGAGAGGGAATAATCATAAATAGTTAAGAGAATAGTGTTTAAATGTCAAATTTTACTTGTCTCCTTACAAGGAGACATGGCTTCTCCGGGTAGCTAGGAATGTCTGTTTTCCAGTCCAGGGAGAACAATGACACCAAAACTGTCCCCAACCCAGTGCCTTTGAATGCTGTTACACACAGAACAAAAGGACTGTTACCTATCTCAGAAGCCCCTTTCTGCTAACTTTTCCTCTACCTTTCTCTAGTCACTTGATGAATAACTTACTCTATGTCCCCACCACACAGCATCTCATACCCCATTCCAGACCCTTCAGTGAACATATCTGTGATTGGCTCTTCCATAATAAAGGCTTAGGATTCAATGTAAAGTGACTGAAAGGGGTCAGAAAGAGAAGCACAACTATTCCAAGTATTTCTCTGTGATGGGGAAGAACAAGGGAAGAAGACAGTGAGTTTATTTTTACATTCTCCAAAGATGAAGGCAATTTTGCTTCAAAGGATCAGCGATGGTTCCTCCAGTACCTGGAAAGCAGACATAAACTGGTCTCTGAGTTCAGGGGCTGATATCTGCCATGTTCATAGCTTTAGAAAAGAAAAATTAATTCACCTAGTAAATAACCTCACAGAGCTGGGACGCTGACTGCTCAATGCAAGGCAGGTCACTGAAATTGTCTGCCCTGGCTTCCTTGCTTGCAAAATGGGGAATAATAATATCACCTACTTCCTAGGGTAGATCCTTGTAAAAAACTATATAAATGCTCACTTTTATTACAGTGCCTGTCTTGTCCCTCCATATTGGATGCTTTACCCCAGCAGAGGTGTAACTTCGTAGGTGACCAGCATCTGCATCGCCGCATCATGGAAGGCATTCAAATAGCTGTAGGACCCAGAGTATTTATAAGCAAAATATCATAGCTGGTTCCACTAAAGGGTGTTAAAAATTATTAATAGTCAAAGAAAAGAGACCAGATCTTTAATGATACTTTTCCATAAAACATCTCAAGTTGGCAAAGAAGAGAAAGAATCAAAGTACAACTTAAAAGGAGGGATTATTCACGCAGTAAAATGATTTTTTTTTCTGCATTACACAAACTAGATTTTAATGGCAAACAATGACACCCACAGCACCACACGACTTGAGGGCCTTCTAGCATATGTCAGCAGCAGAGCTGACAAGATGAGCGTATTTAGCCCACTTGGTGAGATACAGAGACAATGGAATGAAGCATGGCCAGGGCATAAAAGTCTTTGCCTTCCTGTGTTCTGTGTGGATACTTTATGACTGCTTTGCTCCAAGCACCGGCAGCGGACTGCAGGGACACACCCTGGCCGTGGGGATGCTCCAAGTTGGATACCTTCAAAGGAGTCTCCCTAGCAGGGAAGAGAGTCAACAGGCTGACTAGAGAGGCTCCATCCTTCCCGGGCAGCTGCACGGGTGACATCAACCACCTGAGTGGTGAAAAGAAGGTGGGGTGCTATGGAGAACCCAGTCCCGTGTGACCCTTAAGTAGCTTAGGGGAGGGAGGAAGGACAAGGAATATGGAAAAGGAAGATATGTACATTAGAACAATGAGACCAAAAAGACACAGAGGTTTCAAGAAATAAATATGCCCCAATGCCAGGCCCAGAAACCATGCTGACTGAATGAGTTTCACAGGCAACTTATTTCTAACACTCAAAGCAGGACAGTATACTTTACTGGTTCAATTGTCAGTTAACATTTGTCATCACTACACACTGAGTAGAATACAGTGGATAAGCAAAGTTTTCTCCATCATGGAGAGATATCTGTGTTGCCACAAACAGATTGTTTGTATCATACATCTGTGTTTGCAGTGGGAAGATGTTAAAGTTTTCTTCTCCAAAGGAGGCATGTACCTTGATGCATCAGGCCCTGCTGGTGGTTTTTAGCCAGAGGCCATAAATACATAAAGGAGACAACATGGCACCAAAAGAGAAAAAAAAAGCCCAGAAGGAGAACAGAAAACAAATCAGCTTTTAAAATAGTTGTGACAAAGATTACACAGTTAAATTTCTAAAATACAAAACAGGCACATTTACATCACTGGTATGTTCAACGTTGCAGCTTAGTTTGCTGTTTGATTAACCCAAATGGTTTCAATTCACTTTTCGAAAAAGTCTTCATGATAACACTCTAAAATGTGTCGAGAGATATTATGCAACAAAATCATCACAACAGTAAGGTCACAGTATCCCCAGCATTTCTCCTCCCCAACACTTTCATACACCTTACCACAAAAATCGTGTGTGATTTATAGCTATTTTCCTCTATTGGGCAGGCTGCCAAAGCCATTAGGTAAGTTTAGTGATTAAAAACAACTCATTTTTATAAAGAACAATCTAGGTGCAAACAGCATTCAAGCACAGTAAGAATGCGAATACCTAATTCAAAGCAACAGATGACTTTATTCACTGTCCCATTTATTAAGCACAATAAAGTCATTCTGGTTTTTTTTTGGTGTCTCAAAAGGGTCTTGAGGGGGAATCAAATGTCAGGCTCAGCCTGTGAAAGTGTACTTTCATATATAGGCACAACTATGCAACAAGGTGAGAGTTGTATTTCTACACAAACCAACATTTTCCTTTTTTTTTTTTCCCTTCCAAATAGCTCCTAAGATTTAGGGAGGTTGGCAATGCAGTCTCTTTAGGAATAACATTTTATATATTTGGTTATGGTTTGCTGCTTTTCATTTTCAAGTGTTTATCTTGCAAATGTGTTAAGCTATGACAAAACTTATTAATACTGAAATGGAAATGATGTCCCAATGTCTGTTCCTGGCAGTTTCAAATATGTGACTGGGAGAAAGTCATTGAATAGTGACATCTTTACAGACAGACCTTTACAACATCTCAACCATTCCTTTTTACTTGTCAGACATCATTCCTAAGAAGTATGCTTGGCTGGGTGGCTGGCTAGCTTGGCAGGAATTATGTTCAGTCCTTCATTACAACTTTTAGAAAAAGAAAAAAGGAAGGGAAAAAAGCACTAGAACAAGGGATGAAAAAAATCAGTATATGTTAACATGAGTTCATTTCAGATTCGATATTCTCCACGTACTCAAGCAGCCTCCTCTCTTCTAGTCTCTGAATTTTCCAGCAATACAAATAATGCCCTTGGATTGCAGCGGACACCTACAGAACTGACACAGTTGTCATTGGAATCTGAGTCTAAAATTCAACTTAAGAGTTAGATCTAAGGGCCTCCATTTTCTCTCTTTTTTTCCCCCTAGAAAACAATTTTAAACAAGAGCTGTTGACATTGGAAGAAGACTTTCTCTTATACAATCCAATAAATAAGCACATTTTCAATTTGGTCAGAAAGGTCTTGATACAATGTCAATGAGAGCTGTTAAAGTTCTGAGTTCTAAAAATCAAAAGACCTACTTCCACACCTCAACAAGTGAGATCCAAAGCCTCAGCAGTTCAGCTTTGATAACCAACATCTCAACCAAGCTGTCTATGCATAAGCATAGATATTGGAAAATAGGACTGAATACGAGTCCTGTTCCTGGAGGGATCAGAGTACCACTGTAGAAGACAAAGGTCTAGCTAGCTCTTTATCTAAATGCCAATGACAAGACCCACTCTGTGTATCCCAAATTAACCTTCAGGATTTCTTCAAACATTAACTGAGAAAGGACAATTCTTACAAGGTAACTGAACTTAGTTTCTAATGCCTCGCTACCTACCCCTAAATAATTTGAATCTGTAGGCCAGATTCTAAACCAGCAATTATTTAAGGTTAATGCTAAAATACAGCAGCTTTTTCATATTCACTGACAGCAGCATTATCTTTGTTAATGATGCAACTGCTTTCTTTTCTATAGGCAAAGAATGACTGTTCAGGTCACTGGTAAATTTCATGGGATAGAGTAATATATGCAAGCACAATCCTTGATTTACAGGGTCAGCCTGATCTATATTATAGCTGTGAAAATGCAGCAAGAATTTCCATTGCTCTTCAAAAAAATAATGAACACATTTATCTTGCCTGCTGCATATGATGACAAATGCCTGATGTAAATGTGCCTTATGAAAGTGAGAACTGAAAACAGTAATATAAAAAGTCAAATATAACTAAAATTCATGAAACTATATGTATATGTATACATATACATATGTATATATATATAAACACACACACTATATATATATATAGTGTGTGTGTGTGTGTGTATATATATATATATATATATATATATCTATATATATATATATATATATAGTTACCACAACTAAAGCAGCAAATCAAAATGTCTGCTGGGGTTTTCTGGTAAAACTAAAAAAAAAAAGTTTGTGTCCAAGTTGAATGCTACCATTGACACAACAAAATGAAACCCACGATAGAAAGCTGAAAAGTGCACAATGAAATTAATAGTCTTGGATCAAGTATTTGTGGAAAATTGGAAATGTTTTGTCCAGTGGACTTGCTGAAGGGTGCTGAAGGTGGATCAGAGCTTCTCTGAGCCAGAGCGAGCCTGGCGCTCCACGTAGAAGAGGATGTAGGCCTTGGCCTTCACCACGGTCTCCTCATCGGTCAGGGTTACGGTGCTGTCATTGAAATGGAACCAGCGACCTTCATGAGTTGCATAAGCTGTGTAATGTCCAGAACCAACACTGTAAGCAAGAGAAAGGAGAAGGATTAACAAAAGTACTCAACAATTAAAGCCAGTCCAATTCCCATTTTACAGATGAAGACACGTACTTCAGTTTGGTAAATACTTTGAGTGCCCACTACATGGTAGGTGCTATGCATACAATAAAAACAAAATAGCTCCTGCCCTCATGAAGCTTATTCTCTGAGAGGAAACAAGTATGCAGATTAGACAACCCAAGGCACAGAATGCAAAAGCCATTTTTTGGAGGGAGGCATTTTGAGAGCCAGGAGGAGGTGGCACTCCCCTGTGCTTTGAAGGAATGAGAAAAGCATCCCTAACACTGGGGGAGGAGAGAGAGAGCCTGTGCCAGCACCAAGAAGGACTATGCTATCATGTAGCGGGAAGTAGGCCAGTTTGACCGGAATGTGGAGCATGTGAGGGGAATAATGTGCAATCAGTGTGAAAAGATATATTGGAATCAGATTCTGAGAGGCTTTAAATGTCAGAGGAGTTTGCGTTTTACCCTGCAGGCCATAGGGAGTCAGCTTGTAGCTGTGCAAAAGCTAGATCAGGATGTAAAGACTAGAGGCATGAAGACCATTAGGATGCCTTTGCAATGGTCTCAAGGGGAGAGTGGAGGAACAGGGACAGAGAGAAGAGAGATGATGGAATTAGAATTTCCAGGGCCAGGGCCCAGGGAAGAGCTGAGAAGGGCTACAAGGCTATGAACCTGGATGATCGGAAGGTGCTGCCTTCAGTAGAAATGGAGAAGTGCGAAAAAGAAGTGGACTGTGAGGAGGAGATAATAACTTTGGATGTGGTAAAGTAGATGAGGCCTACAGAATATTCAGCATGGAAGCTGTCCAAGGCTGTCCTTTATCATCATAGGCCCGGCCCATCTCTTTTTATTCATACATTTCTTTAATGACATACTCCATACTACTTCCCGTTCTAATTGCTTGTTTATAATGTGTTATAACCTGCACATAAACATGACTTCACTTTTCCAGTGTCCTTTGGGTGATTCTCAATTTCCATTCAGATATTATAGTTCCCCAGAACTAGCAGCCATACAACATCACCAGGGAAATAATGTTATAGAAAGGATGGGCTTTTTGTTTCAGGGAGAAGTTTGAGACCATTAAATTTAGTAATTTCCTGAAGGCAATCCAGCCCATTCCCCTTTTCATGTTCAGTTCTGGGACCAACTCCCTGTATATGTTGTTTGTTCAAATTTTATACACAAACAATGTGTTTATGTATATAAACATACACATGCCCATGCATACACATTTATAACTGCATCTCATCATCTAGAACAGTCATTCTCCATTCATTTGACTTTTTCTAAGGGGAGAGGTAGGTCAAATGCTTTAGAGTGATTATAGATCTCACTTGTCAAGTTCTGCAGTGGTGCACTGTTTGATGTGACCAGCATCATGTTGCCTCAATAGGAGCACCTGGGAGGCCTTGCCATCTACAGAGGGTTCCTTCTCAACCTGGATTTGGTAGTGGATTGCCTCCATGATAATGGTGAACTTGCTTAGCAAGCACATGTTTCCTTATTTATTTCTCACTGGATATATTAAAATTGAGACACTAATAATCCGAGGGTCAAACAAATCTATCACTGTTGTGTATTTCAAGAAATCTTAAATTTGAATGGTTTCACATGAAATACTTTGTTGTGAGAGCATTTAAAGCAGCACGATGCTGTAATTACTCCATTTTTTTATGATGAATAAACAATAAGCACAGTAGAATTCCTGTAGTCGCTACTTCTTTCACTCAGTTATATTATGGGAGATGTATGGCCTAGCATTTTGATTACTAGCAAAAGTCTGCCTGTTCCCATTCAGTAATCTCATCAAGGATACACCTGCTGTGTACGTAGAGTCTCATAAATAATTTTATATAGAGTTGGTTTATGGGTTTGTAGTTTTTTATCTCTTAGTAACTTTTTTCACAATAAGGTCTAAGATTTTTTCCCACACTTTTGGTATCATTCTCTCCTTCAGATACCTTAGGAATTGTATTGTACCCTCAAAGTTCTCATAATTGTGTCCCCTCTGGCATGGACCTCTTCTGGGTAGACTTGGTCTAGCCCAACTGCTTTTTCCATCTTTGTTTTCTTTGGTGCCATTTTCATTTCCTTTATAAGCATAACTGGGACTGGGATGTTAGAATCTAAATGTGGTGATTCTGCTGTTCTTGAGTCCCTTATTGAAATCTTGGCACTTCTTTTCCACCTTTTGCCTGTTTTCTCCTTCCACTTTCATCTTTCAATGCCCTTGCGACAACTGTGCTCAGTTGTTACTCTCACTATGCTTTCTTTACACTAGTTTCCCCCTCTATTGCTTCTATCTTATGAAATGTTACTATTTATACCATCCTTCATAAGATTTTATAAACAAATTTATAACTTAAACTAGTGTTGTCTTTGGATGCCATGCCTTTCTGCTTGGCCAAGAAATCCAGTGTTTACTAACAAAGGCACTTTTTAGGCTCTTCTGGTCTCTCAAATGATTTATATGTGTTAAATTTCTTTATAAAATGGTAATCTCTGTCAATATCCTTTTTCTAGCCACTTTTAGCACCAATATTATAACCTGTTCCAATAGGTCATGTTTTGACTATTTTAACTGCATGCCATAGCTTCCCTCCCTCTGATTTTTATTCCTTCTTCCAAATACTAATTTTCATCTTTGCACTAAACATTTTACAGAGCAGCTAGGTGGTGCCATAGTGCACAGAGTGCCAGGTATAGTGCCAGGTATGGAGTTGGGAAGACTCATCATTCCAAATTCCAATTTGGCCTCAGACACCTACTAGCTGTGTGACCCTGGGCAAATTACTTAATCCAGTTTGCCTCAGTTTTCTCATCTGTCAAAATGACCAAGAAAAAAAACAGGAAAACCCACACATGAGATCATGAAGAATCAGACATGACTAAAAAACGACACACAGATTCAGGAAGACCCTCACGTCAGTTATAATTTCTTATCTAGTCAAACATTCGTTTCATTTTTTTTTTTTTTTTTGTTATTTGCTGCTCTCCAGGTCTAATACCTTCATAATGCATAGGCTGTCACAGCAGTTTTAGTAAAAAGTTTTATTAGCTTAAAGTACTAGGACTTCTGGGAGGCCCTTCATGCACATAAGGCAGATTCTGTCTTTGGCCTTTTTTGTTCCTTACTTTTCAACCTAAAGCAGGGGGCAGTATGGTTCAGTGGAAAGAGTACTGGACTAGGAATCTGAAGGTAATACTCTACAGCAGGCATACTTTTAAAAAACTTATGCATATTTTAAAATCTTAACCCTCCCCCCAAAACGAGCATTTCTATATACAAAAAAGAACAAAAAAAAGTTTTATGTGAAACCATCAATCTCTCATGTATAGCTTTTTGAAAAGTATATAAAAAATGCAACATTACCCTTAAAGCTGTCTGTTAGTCTGTGTTTTTCTGAACTTCCTTCTGTACTCTAATGCATTTTTTTTAAAAAGCTTCGATGATTTTTTTTTTTGGCATCACTACCCCAAACCTTTCTTTACCTTCAAATACCCTCCCCAAATGAAATAACAACAAAACCCTTATGACAAAAACAGGCAAGCAAAACAAATCCACATTTGGATCAGGTCCAAAAATGTCTCTCATTTAACTCCTAGTGTTTGTTTATATATATAACATGACTGAATGAAAGAGGTAGAGAACACAAGCTGTCACTATATTTTTTATTAAAATTTTTTGATTTGTTAGCACAAAGTGCCACCTTACAGGCTCTCTTCCAAAAATGTATTTCCCATCTATCCATCAAAGTCTATATTGATTTCATGTGGAAGATATTATCAAGTTCTTTGAAGAATTTCTCTGATCTCATCCTCCGTTAGCATATTAGCTACAAGTACTTTCTTTTTTCAAATACTTATCATTAGGCACTAATTTCTGAATAAAATATATGAAATGAAAAACACAAGGTGACCAAATGTCCTCTGAGTGTTTCTCACATCCTTGGATGATGTTTCATAAAACCAATTCTGTCAATGTTTTATTTACCTCTCTTAGAAGGACTTGTGAGTCATCCTTCCATTTAGCTACAATTGCCTTCTGTCTCGACTTCCTTTATAGCAAGAATACCATGATTATCACAATTTGATTCCTCCAGTAATTTCTCCATTTGTTGGTCACTGGACAAAGCTATCAGACTGTTTAGAGATGATTTTAAAAGTATGTGATTCTTAGTATTGTCAGTTTTCTGTTATTACAGAAGTGGACTGAAGGTCATTTTAAAGGATGTCTGTTAGTTTCATACATTGCTATGGACAAAGAATTCATCCTAAGTGTCCAGCAAGCTGGCGATGAGCTACTAAGTCCTTAGCTTGGCTAAAAGAAGACACAGTCTATAAAGACTATATTTTTTAAAAATCTAAACCAAAACAGAGATGGAAAGGCATTTCAGAAAAGTGGAGCTTTAGAAAGGCCATCTTCTATTACAAGTAACTTTTATAGTTTTCCACTTGCAATTTAAGGGTGAAGTAAATCATATTTTGACGGAGCAAAGAATAAGACAAGCTACAAAACCAAACCTGTTCTGAATACAGATGCTATAAAATTCTGAGTCTATTTTTCACTTCTCTTTACAGAACACTGCAAATTCTAACATCCTTTCACTTCAGGCTTGCAAAGTGGAAAATTATAATATTGTCTACTTTATGTAAAAATTGATGACTCAATCAGTAAGCTTTTTATTTAGCATCTACTATGTGCCAGGCACTATGTTAGGCCCTCTGGATACAAAGACACAAGATGCTTACATACTATTGGGGGAATCAGTAAGAGGTAGTTTAAGAAGGGAAAGTAAACAGATGCAAAGGTAGCATCGGAAAAGGCTTCGTGTAAAAATAAATTCAGATACTGCCAAGTAGAACAGAAACATCAACGTTCACGTAACACAAGTTTTCCCGTGTCTAAGTTCTGTGTGCACATCCAGTAACAGAAAATCCCAATACTCACCCTGAACCATGATGCACGACAACGGCAGCAAGGTCATAAAGGCAGCTTTCAGGGCCGCTATTCTCAGGCTTTAAAACAAGGGAGAGAAAACACATCCTTAGGACTTGACTGCCTGCCACCAGTAATCAAACCAATATGAAAGCTCTCTCGAGCAACCTCACCCCGACTTTACAGTGAGATTGTTGGAGTAAAAAAAAATACTTGAATGTTATTTTAATACAGGTCTTTCTGAAGTTAAGTCACTTACCTCTAACAAGTAGCATTTCATATCTAGGCCTCTCAGAGGAAATTCTACATAGGTATCGACCTTGTTTCTTAGATATGCTGTCCAATGAAATCTTTTCAAGTGTAAGCATAGCACCTGAATGACAAAATAGGAAAAAATGACACATTTGTTCATAAACATTTCATTCACCTTACGAAAAATCCAGCGTCTGGTGCCGCTACTATAAGAGAGAAGAGCTTTCTCTAAGACCCCCATCAGTTTCTTTCTTTCAGTTTTAGTATTTCCTGCACACGCTGTGGGGTGTACAGCTTTGACTGAAAACTCTGAAGTTCAATTCTGAACATCTTCCAAAGCTGAGCTTATATTAAAAGCAAGATATTTTAAAATTAACTTTGGGCTGACAGTTTGAGTGATTTCCTTTGTGAAATTTCATGGAACACAGGCCTTTACCTTTGGTAATTTCTGAATCCAAAATTTTTTGGTGGATTTCTGCTTCTTTTTGCATTTGTGGCACATATACAGTTCTGTCTCATCAAGTTCTTCCAAGTCTGTAAAACTACGAAGACAATCTAAGAAGAAATTGATTTAAAAAATGTTAAAACATGGTGCTTTTCACAAAGGCTACATCTGGATATTTTTAAGAACAATCAATCATGCCTTCGGCCTAAGCTCCCCTTTATTTTTATGGAAAGTTCCAGGTTTAATTCCATTAATAACTTATACTGTTATAGGAGATATATATATATCACCCCCATTTTACTTTATTGGAGGAGGAAGGTGTTGAGAGGTCCAATGTTTTCAGGCAGTGGTGACAAATTCAAACTGGGGACCACATATTGACTTCGAAAACCTTGACTTAACATTATTTATGTTGTTAAATATTTCCCAATTACATCTTAGTCTAGCGTGGGCCAGACTAAGGATTTTTGTAGGTTGATGAGTTTGATACCACTGCTTTAAGGTCACTGATTGTCCAAGTAGCACAGAGAGGTCTGTCAAGCTGAATCTGACAATTTTTTTAAAATGTATCTTATTTTTATTGATCCCTTTTGATTTTCAAATAACCTTTGTTTCTTTTTTATCTTTGATTTTATTTTTCAACTGACAAGCACTTTTCCTCTTCCTCCCAACCTCTGTCTCACTAATTTGAAAGGAAAAACAAACAAAAAAAAATAAAAATATGTATAGTCAAGCAAAACAAATCCCCACATTGTCCATGTCTAAAATTGTATGTCTTATTCTGCATCCTGAATCCATCACCACTCTGTTGGGAGGTGGATAGCATAGAACTATCATCAGTCTTCTGTAAATACTGATCTTTGGATATGGCTGACAAATTACAAACAAGACCTACTGTCCTTGCTTAGGGGATTTCCTTACAGAAATCATTAAATGGGCAAATTCAAATTTCCCAAAGAATTATTTAATCTCTCCAAAATTATAAACAAAGGATCTTAATTTTAAAAGCCCACCTTTCTAATTCCACTCTATTACTACCCTCCAGAGACCCTTTTCTCCAGCCAGAGTAGCTTACTCAGTCCCTCAAACATGTCATGTTTAAACTATTTTCCCTATTCAAATATCACTCACCTGCCTACTTCTGCCTATTTCTTGCCCACCCAGCTAGGAAAGGTCCAGTTCAATTCCCAACTTCTTCATAAAGACCTCCAAGACCACTCAAAACAATAGTGATTTTCGTCCTTCTAAATATAATTATTGCCTGTGCTATTCATATACTAGTTTTATACCACTTCATCATTAATCTCAAGCTATTTCACTTTGGGGTGTATGTGACTTGTCTCTCCAATTAACTTTATAATTTACATGCAAGTAAGAATTTTGTGTTATTTCTTTGTATCCCTAGCTGGCACCACACTAAGTACTATTGAACACACAGTAGGTGCTAAATAAATTTTTAATATTCTTAAATACAGTTATTTTCCTCATTAGCAGAGCTTCAGAAATGCTAATTATCCCTAAAGTCCTTTTCCAGTTTTATAGTTCCAAGACACAGGGATGTTGGAATGTCATTTTGGTCCCCTTCAGAACAAAGGACAACAACTACCACTAAGGGCTTTCATGATTCCCTCAACAAAGCATGCCAACTTCTGTTTAATCTACTAAAGTTCGGATTCATATTTTTCTTCTGTTAACTAGTTATCTGGACATTGTGGCCTTGTACCTATGGGATACAAAAATGGAAAAACGGCAGAAGGGAGCATATTGGTTATATTTACCTTAAGTGGGAAGTCTGGCACAGAGCTTATTGGAAACTGAGGCAAAAGGAAAATGAACACACCTTTCTAAAATTCCTTTACAGTAGTTGAAATCAACTGACAAGAGTTTAAAGAATCCTCATAGCACTCACTCTGTTCCTTTTCCCATTATCAAATATTTGTTCTTCAAACATAACGTAAAACTAGTTTTCAATAAACAAGAACATTCTGATAAGAAAATTAAGTAATTATTTTCTTTCTAATTCAATATTAAGAATTAAGCAATGTTGTGCGATGACTAACTTTGATAGACTTAGCCCTTCTCAGCAATACAAGAATCTAAGATATCTCCAAAAGTCTCAAGATGGAAAATGCTATCCACAGCCAAAAAAAGAACTATGGAGTTTGAATGCAGATCAAAGCATACTATTTGCTCTTTTTTTCCTTTCTGTTTCATTTTGTTTCCTCTTTCTTTCTTTGTTCCTTCTATTGGTTCTAATTCTTCCTTACAACAGGACTATTGTGAAAATATGTTTAATAGGAATGTATATGTAGAGCCTATATCAGATTGCACGCCATCCTGGGGAGGAAGGGGGAGAAAAAATTTAAAACTCAAAAGCTTATGGAAGTGATTGCTGATAAATCAAAATAAATTAATTAAAATTTTTTAAAAATTAAAATAAAAAAATTAACTATTTAATTTTTTTTCCTGAACCCAAATAGTCCTGAGCATTTCATGTGAAGGTTGCTGCATATGCTGTAAATAACAAGTAAACTGCAACTTCAGATCCCACAGGTCAAGTAAAGTCAAATCATTATCAATAAATTACATTGGAAAATGTCAGTTTTGTTTTTCTTTTTCTTTGTCCCCCCTAGTGGAAGGTGAATTAGATGGAGAGAGGGAGAAAAAAGAGATTTTTGATGATTGGGAAAAAAATTAATATAAAGAATATGTATTAAAAATAATAAACATTTAAAAATAAAAGGAAATGCCCTACTTTCTAGTATGAATAGTGATTTTCAGCTTCTGGAGACCAGAGGTCATGTGTTACACTTTCTTTGCATGAACTCAAAATGTCATAGGTACAACAGCTGTAGATCTTGTGCTACCTTGGGACATTTCATAATTGTCTGATACTGTTATTGAAATCTTCTAAATGAAATTGTAAAGTTCTTTAGGGCAGAAACAGTGTTTTCTTTCATCTCTCATCTAACATATTGCTTTCTATACACAGTAGGTGCTCAATAAATGTTTATTTCTGAGCACATAGCAGGTTCTCTCACATGCTTGCTTCCTTTGCGTTCAACCCAAAAGCTTTTCTCTTCCTTAAGAAAAATTAGAAATACCGACTCCTGTATTTCTATTTTGATGGAAACATTGAATTTGTATACATTAATTGGCTCTAAATCTAGTATCTAACTAGACAGTTTTTTTAAACATCTTATTTTTATTGCTATAGTTTTAACATAACCATCATTTCCAAATATATCTCTCCTCCTTCCTATTCCTTTGTAATAAGAACTAGAGAGAGGATGCCAATTTAAAGACATAAAAACAGATAAAGTTGATAATATATACTAACAGACTTCAATGGGACACAGCTAATTTAAAAAGTCCTATTTTTATTTGGCATTAATTATATAACTTCGGAAAGTATATCTGCTTTTTAAATTGTACTTTTTTTTTTTTGGTTTTTGTTTTGTTTTTAGGCAATTGGGGTTAAGTGACTTGCCCAGGGTCACACAGCTAGTAAGTGTCAAGTGTTTGGTCTAAGGCCATATTTGAACTCAGATCCTCCTGACTTCAGGGCCGTTACTCTATCCACTGCGCCACCTAGCTGCCCCTATACTTTGCTTAATGTTAAAATTAGTTTGCATTCTCTGAACATACTGACTAGCCTTTTATGGCAAACTAGCAGAAAAATCCATTTGCCATAGTTAATTCACAAAATGGATAATTCAACTCCTGATATTCAATAAATGACTGTTTAATTAAATTCCATTTGAAAACTATTATAAGACTAGCATTGAGGGCTTCACTCCTATCCTTAAAAAAACAGAAATGTGTGTGAACTCATATCTGTGTATGTGCACTGCATTTTAAGATTTACAAAGTGTTTTCCTCACAACAGCCCTGAGAGATAGGGATTGTAAAAATATTACTTTTCTCATTTGATAGATGAGAAAACCAAGGGCCAACCTCTTTAATTCAAAGAAGCAACTTGCCCTAGCTAATAAAGAATTCTAATAAAACAAAAAAAAGTAAATAAAATTCTGACTCCAAGTTCAGTTTTTTCCTACTATTCCACATATTACTCATCTCCTAATTACCCTTCATTAGTCAATTTACATTTGCTATCCTACACATTTCCTGAACCAAATCTCAATGAGATGATAGTTTCCTATTCCTGGTGACAACAGGATAAGAAAGCTCAGATTTCTTGTATTCTCTTTTGTCTCTGAGCATAAACAGTAATGATGACATGACACTGGCTTCCTATACAAATCCCTAAGCACTTTCATGCTTGTGTACTGAGACTGAGATCATAAGAGCTTTCATAAGTGAGTAACTGTTGCATCACATAAAAAGTTTGGCCTGGGTGGGTGGGGGGGAATTATATAAGGATAAATATAGAATTCAAGTCAATTAACATTTATTAAATATTTACTATATCCCAAGCATTGTGCTAAGAGTTGAGGATACAACAAAAGTTCCATATTTTGAAATAATTTCCTCTTGAATTTTTTTCCCAGACAAACATATGAAAGGGGAATTACTACTATACGATGCAGATGAATTCCAATTTCTCACAATGGCATAAAATCGGCCAGCGTGATAATGGACAAGGAAGGGAATAAAACATCTACTATGTGTGGCAGGCACTGTGCTAAGCACTTTACAAATATTATCTCGTGATCTTCACAATAACCCTGCAACGTAGATGCTGTTGTTACCCCCATTTTACAGTTTAGGAAACTGAGGCAAGCAGAGGTTAAGTAACTTGCTATGGGTCACCCAGCTACTAAGTGTTTGAAGTCAGATCTGAATTCAGGTCTTCTTGATGCTTTTCCTGCCTTGTTTTCATATCGAAGATACATTTCAAGTTCCAAATTGATCACGTAACTCTGCTGGTTAATTGGGGGCTACCTATATACAATAAAGCCCTAAATTGTAATCTTATGCAGAAAATTGCATTACTTAAAATCTTCAACCAAATTTATCACTGAAGTCCTAAATTGTTTTTATCTGCTTTTTTGAGATATAAACAAACAAAATTTGCACTGGATCACTGTAAGACCTTGGTATCACTTTCATGTTCTACATCAGAAGACAAAAATCTGACATTTTATTTAAATGAGTTTTTTGAAATTTGTTTCCTTTAAAATAGCCTTACCCCAAAAAAAGTTTTGGAAAGATTTTTCCACAATATATTCAGTATACATATGAACACTTTAAGCTAAAGCTCTTTTTTTTTTCCTCCTCTCTTAGGCAGAGGTATACCCTGCAGATGGTGTTATAAGGAAGAAGGATAAAGTACCAATTAAATGTAGTTACAGACATAGCTGTTTCGGCATCACTTCTTATACTAGTCAGATACCGAAATAGTCTTAGAAAATGCCTTAGCAGATGATTGCTACTTTGCAGCATGACTAAAAGTTTTTCTTTTATTTGGTTTTTCTTTTCTTTTAAAAAGTGTATGAACTACTTTCTCTCCCTTCTTTGCACTGCTAAAGGACTAGGGTATGGAGGATTGCATCTACAGTCAAGAAACACTTTATACGTTGGTTAGTTTTTCTCAGTTGCCTTTGTACTCTTCTTTCTTTTCTATTCTTTGTTGCAAGGAATGGCTCTCTAGGGAGGGAAGACAGGACGGACATACTTGGAAATAAGTGATGTAAAAACAAAAGATATCAAACTTTATGTATGTGTATCCTATAACATTGGGGCAGCTAGGTGGCACAGGGGATAGAGGACTGGGCCTGAATTCAGAAAGACCTGAGTTCAAATCTGGCCTAAGACATTCACTAGCTGTGTAACCCTGCACAAGTCACTTAACCCTGCTTGCCTTAGTTTCCTCATCTGTAAAATGATCAGGAAAAGGAAATAGCTAACCAGTCCAGTATCTTTGCCAAGAAAAGCCCAAATGAGATCATGAAGAGTCAGACACGACTGAAAAATAACTAAACAACAGCAACGACATCCTATAACGTGGAAGTAAATGATGTGCTCTCTAATTTCCTTCCTACAAAGGAAGTAAAAATTTTCACTCTTAAGTTCTAGGCAAATTGGACTTAATTCTCTGTTATCTAAAAATGCCCTATATTCGAGCCTCTGCTCATGTTGTTCCCCTAGAGTTATGCCATCATCTCCTCCTAAACTATTCAATCCCTGCCTATCCTTTAAAGCCTCATCAAATGCCCATTGTAACAGGAAACTTTCCTTGATCCCCACTTACAATCCCTCTCTCAACTACTGATACTACCCAATAGTACCTGCTGGTAATGACCTCTCCCTCATGAGTCTTTTTTTGGCTGCCTAATACACTTATCTGTTATTGTGTATTACAGCTTTCTATGTATGTGTCTTCTCCTCCTATTTATTAACTGTAAGCGGGGGTGGCATCCTTACCTATATTTTGTAACTCTCCTAGCACCTAGTACACAAAATAGGCATTTTAAAATGTTTCTTGAATGTATATTGTTCCACTTTACCTGGAAAACCAATCTGGTTACAAAGCTTAAATTTTAAAGGTTATGTCTTCTCAGTAACATTAAGAAGAATAGGGAAAATATTTCTGGATATAGTATAATAAACATACAAAATGGGTTTTGTTGAGGTACAAAAATTTGACTCTGAAAATAGTCACACTAACCAAGTAGCCCACATGTCCCCAAGATGAAAGGAATTCAAGAAACAAAACACACTTTAGCGTGGTCACATACAATAAGAATCCAGGGAGACTTCAAAACAATAGAAGTGTCCTTACCTCGGAGTGAACACAAGGGCCCATTTTCTTGGTTCTTAGAACGCTTGTTTCTAAATTGACTGGGAATATCTAATGAAAGGTCTTAAAACAGGGAAAAATTAGTTAAAATCACATTGGCCCAATCACTGTTTTTAAAAAAAATCATCAATTTGATGGTTTCTTTGAAAATAAGGATTCAAACATTTTTATCGTAAAAATAAAGCACAAATACCCAAATATATCTTACCAAGAAATGGATCAAACTTTCTAGATTCTGTCCCACATATTAAGCAGTTAACTTCATTCTGAAGAATGCCTCCAAATATAGCTGTGACAACAGTAGATGCTCCATTTCTAAAGAAAATCACCATGTGGGAAAATATTTTAATCACAAGGTCTATATTTCTTTGATAGCACTAAACCATTAATAAACATTTTTTAAAGATTCATTTAAAACAAGCTTCTCCACTGATACTGGCTGTGTATTTTTTTTTTTAAGTTCCAGAAGAAGAATGGAGTAAAGAAAGTTCCATGAAAGGTTTTCATTGGGCACAATCAAGGCTAAGCCATTGTTACTGAAGTCACAAGCTAAACTTCAATACAGTGCTAGATGTAAGGATCAAACCCAGTTTAATTGGGGGGGGGGGGGTGTATTGCTGATAAAAGGTTTGTTTCCCTTTCTTTTTGAGGACAGTAATGAGTGACTTCAGACACAGTAAAGCCTACAAAAGAGCCTTCAAGTGTCTTCCATTTTGACTTAAAAAATGCAAATTGGCTTTTTAAAAAAACTAACCTGTAGTCCTAATGAAACCTGAAAATCTGAGATACAGGAGAGAATCTAGAAGGTACAATTGTCCATTCTCCCTTGTGGTTTAATTTTTGTAAGATTCACAAACCAGTGCTATGCACAGAGTGGGCATATAAAAAATAAATTCTTAACTAGTAATAAAGATATTTGAAAAGAAGAAATAGAAAAAATTTAAATCATTCATCCTCTTATGTTGCTACTAAAACACCACATTAGATTTAAAGATCAAATCAATTGTATTTTACTGTCAATTTAAACTTACTATTGTTCTTCCCCTTCAAAGACTCTTTAAAGGTTAGAGTAACTTCCAAGTTCTAGCTCCAATTTATTTTAGATTCATGTAGCATTACTAAGTTTTAGTTTACCATGATTTTAAACACTACGCTAATTAAACAGTAAAACCAAAATATATTCTCATTACAAATGCATACTAAAAATGTGATTTAAAAATGACTTTAAGTAATACTTATTCCATTTATAGAATAATTTAATAAATTATGGCTTCTGTGTACAAATTGTATTCTACTAGCTTAAAAAATGTTAATGAGTAATACATTCCTTAATCAGTAATAAGACCAAGTCTTATAGCTGTGTGTTTAAATGCATTATATAGTTTATTATTATTATGGTAGTTGAGTCCACTTTCAAGATAACTTTAGAAATCTCAATGAATAGGACAACTTAGCTTCTTGTACATTTTAGGTGTTTTAAAGTATTTTAGCTAATACTAAAAAACTGTAACATGAAACATCAGTAGAATGCAACAGAAAAGCAGCACTGTTTTGTGTGAGAACTTATTGGAGATCACTTTATCTCACTGCAAAATTATGATATTCAGTGAGGCAATGTGATAGGGTTCTGTCACTGGTCCCTCTGATTTATGTCTCAGGTAACTAACCAAACAACATTTTATTGAAGTTTCTTAAAAGAAATATATTAATCATTATAAATTACAACATTTCAGGCAACAGTATGAAGCAGAACATACTTATGGGTTTCCTACATAAAATAAATAGACTATATTGTATGTAAAATATATGAGCTGTATTATATATCATATCATGGTTCTTTGTGCACAAATATGCTGCTTTAAAATATACAGTTCATTTTTCCACACTCAACAAAACTTTGAATGTAATATTGTTGGGAGGAGATAACTTACCAGCACCTTCTTTTCTAAACTGGAATTTGGGTCAGGGGGAGCTGTATATCTATGTATTACAGACTATAAAGAGCTATACTGGGTCCATTCCTATAGGACAGGTGGCCACAGGAGGCTGAAAGTGGATGGAGGAACCCTACTTTAACAGTAAAAACAAAACAAAACAAAACAAAAAAACCAACCTAACTACACTCACTAATAAGATCTAGAGAACGCTAGGCGGGCAAGACTACAGTCACACCTATATACAACTTACCTTTCTTTCTCTGATGAGTTTAACTTGTAATCCCCTTTCCTGCACAGATCAGGACTGACAAAAGTCTCAAAAATTACAACATAAGAGGAGACTGCACATTGACCAAAATCCAGGCTGAAATGACTGTAAACATCCCTGCCTAAAGCAAAATAAATGTTTTGGTCTCAGTGCAGGTTTCAGTCTATTAGAAATTACATGGGAAAACAATTCAAAATTTTTTCATATTATGGGGCAAGAAACACTTCTGAAAACTTACTGGTGCTTCAAGGTCAATTAGGGAATGAACAAATATGTTTTAGGCAAATTCAAGTTCCAAAATTGCTCAAGCTTATGTTTTCAAATGGAAGTACAACTAGTTTGGGTAGAGTAAAAAAAAAAAAATCCATCCCTCCCCCCATTATCTTCACTACTATTTGAGAACTATTTATAAAAGATCAATAAAAATTGAACATATCCTACACTTTTTCTAATTTTCCAAACAATTTTTTACTGAATTTCAGGTAAAGCCCTCAGAAAAACTAAGAAGAAATCCAATATCAAACTGTTCAAATGCAAGAGAAAGCATGATTATTTTGCTATGTTACTTGTAAAGAATTTAAATAAGAAATATGTACAAAGTTTAAGCAAAACAATAACATTTTAAAATATAAAATACCAATAGTATTACATAAAGCCCTCCCCATGAAACTCCATTAAAAAACCAAAACCAAAAAAAACAAAAACAAAGTCTTACATGCAACATTTGTTACTTGCAGAAAGACTAGAATTCTCTTGCAGAATTACTGATCGAGAAACTCCATTGAAGCCTCCCTGGAGTTCCAAGTGTAGATGGTCCAAAAGATAGCGCATAAATTCATGAGCATCTTGCTGCTGATAACCCCTTAAAGGAAACAAAAATGTTTGAATATGGGGCCTTCACATGCTCAAATCAGTCAAGTGACAGGCAAAGCAGGTTCTACTATTCAAATCAAAAAGATTTCACTATAAGAGTAAATTTTGTGTGTCCCAATTTCACATCTTATCCTATCAAAGACATTAAATTCTAAAGTACTACTATAGGTAACTGATAATTTTTAAAGTAATGGCTTAGAGTGAAAGAGGTTGGTTTAACCTTTAAATCTTGACTTAAAGGAAGCTTCAAAAATGCTAGGGAGCTAAGAGTTTCTCTAAGTCTGTAAATACTTCCCAATTAATGATACAGAAAAACTTAAAAAAAATTTTTTTAAACTGTGTTCATTCATACAATGAAATTTTCCTCTGATGATAAATATTAATACCTGACTTTGAAAAAAGAGCCACACAACACCTTTCACATGTGCTCTCTCATTGTAGTAAAGCAAAATGTTCTTATATTAAAACAGAAGATCACTTGGCAACAAATGAATAGCAATAAATACTGGCAGCAAATAAAAATAAGTGAGGAAGCAAGAAAGTTTTAGAAAGCTATCTGAGTTTGAAACCCTTATGTCTAACGTATGATATTTTAATGAATTCAGGACAGAAAAGACAGAGTGTAGCATACTGCCTCATTCACTTTGTAACACAGAATTTTATTTAGCCTGGTTCTAAATGTCTTAAATGATAAAACTTTCACTAGTTCTCTTAGCAAAAAATTCCATAATCAATATTTATTAACAAAAAATTTAAATATTTGTTTTCCCCACTCAATTCATAAATTCCACTTTTAATTTTGTTAATTAGGCTAAATAACTCCCTTAGTCCATAACAGTCATCATTATTCATTTGCCGACTATTACCTTGACAATTCCCCTAAACTTTCGCATTCATGGGTAATTCATTCTAAACTTATGAGGAAATATAAAAAATTATCATAAAAAGGTAAAGTTTGTATAGAGACTCTATTGATTTGCCTGTTAGTACAGACATTAGGTTGACTTCCACTTAATTGTCTATCTAAAATGCTAAAAAACCAAGTGGCTATATTAACAAAAACAAAACAAAACAAAACTGTTCTGTGCTATTTTAAGAGTAAGTCTGGGTTACCATTTCCTAAGACTCATCACACATACCACCAACCACACTTTAAATATTATTTGGCCATTAGATCAATTTGCATTTGTTACTTAAAAATATTCTTTCTTTTAAATAGCATAAGGTTGTTCTTAAAAGCACAATGTGTTTTCTACACAGTTTTCCATTAAATTGCTTTTCCTCACTTAAAAATAATTTATATTCTACTTTTTTCCTTGTCATTTAAAAGATGATAGCATTGTAGGATAGAGCCACTCTGTTTTTCTTTAAAAGTCAATTTATACTTGTGTCTTCTTCAGCTTATGTAATTTCAACAGAATATAAAAACATTACCCATTTTTCTCTAGGTGTTGTTTAACTTTGGGGGGATTTGGTGACAATCCAAGCAGCCACTTACAATAATATAATTTTGATAAATGAAAATCTGAATAGGAACCATAGAACACTGGGGAGAATCAACAAATATTTTTTAAAATATTATACCAACAAACCTTACAATCTCACCTGGATAATTTTCTAATTTGGTTTCTGTAAAGATTTTCCAAATGCATTTCCAATTACATTTTCAGAAGGGGAAAGGAAGGGAGGGAAGGGACATAAGAAAGGCTTACAATAAGAGGAAAGGGAAAGTTTTCCTTCTTCAATGATGATGCTTCCTACATAAACAACTGCTGCTATCTCACCCATGGAGCTATTTGTCAACCATTGATGGAATGGATTTTGAGGAAAACAATAGATATCTTTAAAATAAAATTAGAATTCAGGTCTACAGGAAATAAACAGAATGGTAACTCAGTGGGGTTTGAGTTGTAATCACATTACTGCTTTTAGTTGTTTTCAACTTCAAAGTCTCATCCTCTATATGCCCCACAGTTTCCTTACTACAATAAGAATTAAATCAGTAAATCTGTCTCACAAGAGACACTAAAAATAGTCACTATAAAAAACTTCACACCTATAAGAGGTCAGAATAACAATAACTATTATGTTCTTCTTAAGGATGAAAGGCTGAGTATAAGAGGCACATAGCTGAAATGTGTGGGAGACAGAAGGGCACAAATATTGTCTTTTCACAACTTATTCTCTAAACAACAAGAATCCACTTAAGACAAAGAACTTTGCTGATACCAGAAACTATTAACTTTTATTTTCTAGAATGTGACAGGTAAGTTCAAATATCAAGACAAACACCATGAAGTCTAGACACACACAGGTATTTGTGTGACATGACAACATGCACAACAGTCTCATGTACCTGTGCACTATTCTCTATATGTTAGGAGGATCAGTACATAATCTATAAAATAGCAAAGACCAATAAGGAAAATGATATGCCTGTGCAAGAAAGAGCAAGTCAAGTCACTCTAGCACAAACATTCCAAAATATCTGGGACGCACTCAAAATTTCAGTTTTGTTAAAGGTACTAAAAATCTTTAACATTTACAAAACACTTCTGATTACTTTGAAAAAATAGCTACAAAACCACTATGGCTTAGTTTAGTTACTCCTCTGTCGTATCTGCTAGTGAGGTTTTTCCAAGGAACACAAAATTGAAAGTGAACTAGGTTCACACACACACACACGGAAAAATAGTGAATTAAAAGTGTTTACATTGAAAATGTTTAAAAATCTAAGCTACCAGAATCTCATATAATTGTATTTTTAAAATCCCCTTTTCTAATAGAGAGCAGTATCCAAAAAAACCTCTTTTGGGTCAAAAATAAACATGTTACATCCAATAATGGTCTAACACCCTACACAAAAAAATAATTAGCAAATATATGAATTAGATTTCAACCATTCAATTGATTGAATTCATTCACCCTTATTCTATTTTAAGTGCTGGTAGGCTCTTCAATAAACAGCATGGTCAAAATGGCAGTGTAGAAGGAAGTAGCAGAATGAGACCCCCTCCAAACAGAGCTAGAATGTGAACCAGACTGAATCATGATGGGGAAATTTAAGACAAAGTCACAGTGAGTCCCTTTTTTAGCCCCATTCTGCAAAGGAAAACGGTGGTCTTCAGACAGTGAGGACTGTTCTGGCCAGAGCAGAAGTCCTAGGTCCATACCAGGGCATCTCAACAAGGACGGGTACCAACTGGCAGCTTTGTTGCCCATTACTCAGCTGTAGGTATAAACCCCGGGCAGACTCACAACACGACCTGTTCCTGGGAAAGGAGGCCCAGGACGGGATACTGAGAAAGAAGCAAGCAGCAGTGGTACGACTCTGAAGCCTTGAGAGGAACAGAAAAGGTAGAAATCCCAGATACAAGAATCCTGTGGTTCTGTCCCTATGAACCAGCAGAGTTTCCCAGTTGGCTGACAAGGGCTGAGCCCAGAGGCAGGCTACTGTTATTCAGACCAGTGGGGGCACCAATCAGACTTTATCCTGCATCAGACCATTTTGGGAGTGCTGAAAGCTTGCAGGTCCCCAGCCTGAGCTGTCCCTGAAATCCTGGAATAACACAACACTCTACACAGAAAGAAAATAGCAAAAGGACCAGTCTAGACTTTCCCTTCAGAAGTGCACAGTCAGGCTCCAACATCAAGTCCAAAGTCAGAAAATAGTTTTTAAGAATGCACAAATTATAAAAAGAGAGAGAGAGAGAGAGAGAATCCCATCATAAAAAGCTATTATTATTAGGACAGAGATACTCAAGGGAGAAAAAAATGACTGCAAAACATCTACAAGCAAAACCCCAAAGGAAAACACAGCATGAGCACAAATTCAACTAGAATTCCTGGAAGAGATGAAGAAAGAGTTAAAAAATCTTTTAAAATGTTTTTGTCATTGAAATGAGAGCACAAAAAGGTCACCTTCTGAAAGAACTCCACCCAAGTAAAACTTCCAACTACATGATAGCCAAAATCCAGACCTTCCAGGTAAAAAAAAAAAAAAAAAAAAATGCATGCAGCCAGAAAGAAAGAATTCAAGTACCTAATTCATATAATTTAGCAGCCACCACTAACAAGAAATGGAGAATTTGGAATATCATATTCTATAAAGACAAAGGATATGGACTCACAGCCAAGAATAATTTATCCAGGAAACCTCAATTTAATCTTAAAGGGGGGAAAATGAACAAAGTAAAAGAGGGGCATTTCAAGCATTCCTCCTGATAAAAACACAATAGCAGTGTAGAAACTCTGAAGTTCAAACACAGGAGTTACAAGAAACACAAAAAGGTAAATCTGAATGACCAATCATTACAGAACTAAGCAAGGATAAACTGCTTACAGTCTAATACAGAGATAATACTTGTGTCCCCATTGAAATCTTTCTTCATCAGAGATCAAAGAGAGAGTCTAATTAGACAAAAGACCTAAAAGTGATTCTATTATATCTTGATACTCTTAAGAAAAGAATAGAAAGAGAGGAGAAGAATACACTTGGGCATGAGGAGGGACAGTGGGGAGCCACTGATGCTTGAATCTCATACTTAACTGATCAAATGAGGGAAGAACATGCATTGCACACAACTGAGTATGAAAATATATTGCACTTGACAGAGAAATGGGAGAAGGAAGAATTGGTCATTCAGTTAACAAACATTTATTAAGAGCTTACTATGTGCCTGCCTGACAGGCACTGTGTTAAATACTGAGAATATAAATACAAAAAAAGAAGTCCTTGCTCTGCAAGGAGCTTACAATTTAACAGGGGAAGACAAAACACAAAAGGAAGCTGGAAAGTGAAGGTGATGGGGGTAGAGTGGAAGGGAGAGTAGAAGGTACCTGACAGAAGGCATAGTGAAGTCAGGGAAGCCTCACAGTAGTGCAGCCAGGTAAGAAATGAGATGTTTGAGCTGCTCTCTCCTTAAATGGAGCTTTGGAATTGGTGGGAAGAGTAGTTTAAGAGAGAGATTAGTCTTAAGCAAAACAAACTCTAAGGATATGCAAAAACATTCATTGCTCTTTTTGAGGTAGCAAAGAATGGGAATCTGAGGTGTTGCCCATAAACTGGGCAATAGCTGAACACGTTATAGTATATAAATGGGATGGGGTACTACTGTGCCGTAAGACATAATGGAGATAAGCTTCAGAGAAAACTAGGAAGATTTATACAAGCTGATGAGAAAATTTATGCAATCTAAGTAATATGGTAAAGGCAAAAACTCTGAAAAAATTAGGAACTCTGGTTGGTGTAATCACCAACCATGATGCCAGACGACCAGTGATGAAACATGCTACCCACCTCCAGACAGAGACATGAAGGATTCAGTACAGAATAAGATGTATTTTTTTTTTTTTTGGACAAGACCAATGTGGAAATTTGCTTTGCTTGATTATACATATCTGTAATGGAGGTTTTGTTTTTCTTTCCTTCTTAATTGGGGTGAGTCAATTTTTGCTGATTTAAAAAACAAAATATAATTGTAATGCAAAAACAAACAAAATGGAGCATGGTATAAAAGACAAAATGTTGCCCTTGAGAAGCTAACAATCCATTTAGGGATCCTAAGCAAAATATAAGCAAATTATAAATACTGAAGTACAAGTGGCAATACAAAGTACTCCCTAAGTCAACACAGGGGCAAACTATTGAAACTTAAAATCTGCATTAAGACTTTGGGAAAAAATCTGTAAAGGTGCTGACCACTGGCTGGGTTACTGAGCATGGATTTTTTTTTTTTTTGTTAATCACAACATAAATATTAAGTGGGTCTTGAAGAAAGGTAAAGACATGAGTTGGGAGACAGGAGGTATGATTTAAAACAAGGTAAACAGAATGAGCTAAGACACTAAGGCAGGAAATATGTGTAAGAAATAGCAAAATGCTCGGGTCAGTGAGAGCAGCAAAGGGACTCATAATGAGAAATGTGAGTGGATAGACACTGGGGAAGGTGTAACCTTATAGAGGTCCTTAAAACACTAGTCGAAAAATTCTGGTATTCAAACAATGACATGGAAACTCATGTAGATTTTTTTTGTTTTGTTTTTTTGTTTTTTTTTTTATGTAGATTTTTGAGCAGGGAATTGATGTTATAAAAATCACATAAGAAAATTATTCAGGGAGCACATATTAGTGACTGATAAGATACTAGAGGGACATCAACAGGATGATCATTTTGGTGATTTTTATTTCTAAAGATATTGGTATTTCAAAGTAAAGAGTGTCTATTTTAAATAAAAATGTTTTCATTTTTCTACACATAAGTTGGATTTTGTAGACTTTGCAATTCAAACCAGAGTCAACCTCCCCTACATATGCTAACTGAGGCAAAAGCTATCACTTATTTGCCTGAAAAGAAATGTAAATGGAAACATCCAATAATTTATTACTTGTGTTTCCTTCTGTAGAGACTGATGTCATATACCTAAAATTCTTCTGGGATAAATGTGGTGAGACCTTTTTAGAAACCATTATTACATTAAAGATAAAGTTTCACCAAGCTTTATCCACAATGTAATCAAGAGGCCTGGAAGGGACAATTGGAAAAGAGATAACAGATCTGACCAAGAGGAAAATTATCCCTGTTATCATGTAAATAAAGCCCATTCTTGATTCTTCAAAGAACAAAGGAAAAACTTGACTCAGAAAACTTGAGCTTTCTACTTCATCTTAAGGAAATCTACCAACTTCACTCTGCCATGCACAGAGCTCTCTTGTCTAATACTTCCCTTTTCCTTCAAACAGCTAAATCATGTTCATACACTGGAACAACATAAACAAATATCAACCTTGAAAACTATATCCATCAAGCTTTTTCTCACCGGAAGAGCTGAGCCACAGGCAGAAGATGCAGGCGGGAAACAAGTGTCTACAGAAGACATCAGGCTGTGTCAGCGCCATGTCAGGCCCCCACTCAACACATTTTTCTTGGAATATATGGTATAAAACAACACACTTAACATATGGAGAAAATGCTAACCTTTGGGGCAAATAACTTAGATGATCCCAGCAATCTGTGTACAAATTCCTTTAGAGATGACAGGCCTAAGCTGATAGCAAATCTAAAACAGCAAATTTCTACTCATCCTGCCTTTTATTAAAGTAACTAGAAAATCTGTACAAAATTAAGTTCTCTCCAATTAAAGTTTAAATAGCATGATATCTGAAAGAATTTCCATAAAAACAAAGACCTAATGGTTGCTAATAAACATAGTGGTTGCTAAGTAAAACTGGTACCAGACATTTCTGTCATGTAGAATAAAAAGCAAGGATTTCAACATTCAACAACTTTATAATATTTAGGCCACAGTTAGGAAATGAGGCAGAATGTGTCAAGGTTTCCAATGATGTCTGTTTTTAGGAAGGAAAAAGACACACTATTCATTAAAAACCTAAGGAGTAATGTGTCTTCAAAATAAGATGAATAAATTCAGGAGAAAATGGCCACACTTTGTGAATAACAAACATGTGAAGTATTGAAAATGTCATATTTCCAAATCTAATCTTGAATACTTCAGGGAAAGAGAGGTTGGATTTATCTGTGACAGTGAAATTACAAATTCTGAGGCTATTAAAATGAGCAATACTATTCTTATGCTTTTTTGCCCATTGTTTGAATCTGATGAATGAAAATTCCTTCATTCCTAGACTTCACCTGAAACACATGCTACGTCTGCCAAGAAGTAAATACAGGCACCCTCCAAGTGTTCTCTTTCTCAAAAGTAGTTCATATACAAGTGCAGTGACACATTGTAGAGTTTTACCACTTACTACATGATGCAGCACAACTTAACTTAATAAATTCTAAATGATTTCCAGTAAAAACCAAACTTTATAAAACTTACTGACAGCCCTTCTTTTTGTTCTAAAGTCATAAAACAATTAAAGATTATTTATAATGCATACACCTCTCATTATCATTTAACAAATATGAGGCTAAAGCACTGTGAGTTTCAAGTAAGTTTCACCGATGAATTTCTTGTGAGTCTAAGACTATTTTAAAAGACAGCCCCCCTTTTATAAATACCCAAATTCAATAAAATGTTTGCCCTTTTAAAAAAAACCAGTGCTTCCCTGCAACGAACACAAATAAATGTTTAACTATGTTACTGAACCAAATAAAATTTGTTCTTTTAAGTAAATTTAATTTTTGCTTATCTCTAGAAATAAAAGTACACTCCTAAAACTGGATTAATTTCTTGACTAAGGACACCACTTAGACTCACATTATTTCTTCAGGTTACATGAAGATTTCAGGAACTAATAACTTCCAAAAGTAGACAGATGCATATGACTGGTTTTTAAAACTTTTATTAAATAGCACTTACCTAAAATTTGGCATGATTTTCCAAACAACATAAAATAAGGATTCTGGGCTAAATGCAGTTTGGCTGCCTTGCCATAAAGCACACAATGTTTTTCTAAACTCCTCTACCAAGGAACTAGAAAAGCAGGAAAGAAAAAGAAAAGACATCATTACTTCTAAAAATGCTGTTTTTAACCTAAAATTTCTACAAAACAATACAGAAATAAAAACAAAACCAAAACCCCCACATCCTACCTGCTTTCCTTTAACTATACCTGAACATGGAGTGCTTTCTCACATCTCTACTTTAGGGCCAAGTTTGGTCATTATAATTTCACAGCATTAAGTTTTGATTATTTTTTAAAGCCATGAGCTTTCTATTTATTATAATCACCAATTTTATAATGCAAATATTGCAAAGCCTCTGCAGAGTGCTAAATTCATTTTGCCTAAAAATGAAAGTATCATCCACTGAACAGTTGTTAAATGTTGTAAAATACATGTGACTGCTTGCTATTTGAACACACTGAGCAGCAACACTTTAAAAATTTCAATTGTGCCTATTAGTTTACATACCACACAAAAAGCATTACTACAAGTCATTTTTTCCTCTCTGCTAAAAGCCAGAAAGAACATATTCCTATTAACTCACACATTGTTATCCCCTTGGCTCCTGGTGTGATAAGTCCGCCTCCCTGCTGTTTTCCCATTTCGTAATTCCACAGCTGGAAGTTCTTTGAAATAACAGCAAAACTGCTGAATATTACTGTTTTAAAAGCAAAGGCAAGGAGAAAAAAATGGTATGAGAAAAGAAATAACATAAGCTTGAGCAAAAAAGCAAGTAGTGCACAATTCATACTTGACACTTGGAAATATTTGTCTATTTTTTTTTCCTTTGAATTGCACATAACACAACTATTTTTCAATCAGAAGCTTGATGTTTCTTTTTTAATAGTACCAAGACAAATGTAGTAGGAGAATTTCCCTGAGATGAATACACAAATTAAAAGGAAACAATGTTTTAAAACACTTTTCCTCTATTTTTTAAATATCACCATCTATTCAGTCACTCTTCAGTTTTTCCATCATAGAAACAATCACATTTTATCTTCTTTCAAGTGCTTTACCCCAGCAGAAGTCAGTGCTTTCTACCTCACTTAAAAAAAAAAAAAAGGTTTCATAACAGTACCTTTCAACCTCCGGAGCAGATGTTTAGTATAGTAGAATAGAATGTCCTCAAGATCCCTTCCATGAAACTACATTTTATGTGCAACTGAATTAAAAAGAGTAATTTCTAAAAAGCACTTCGGTGTCTGACTTCCCTTAGATTAATTAGGGGCTCTCTAAAGCAAATTCAACTCAATGGCAAACAGCATTAGAATTACTATACTTATATTTATGTTAAACACTAGTCAGAGAGGGAAGCAGAGTGGTGATTACAATTTCTTCCCCAATGGGATTATACACAGTGACGGGTAGTACTAGGTGAAGCTGAGATCATTTTTAAAGCTAATAGTTTAAAATTCTTCAAATATCAAATGATTTCTTCTAATGTTCTCAAGTTACAATACTTACCAGTCATCTTCTTGTCACTATATTCCTTCTGATCTAGGATAGAAAGCGCTTCTCTGACAATTCTCTAAATATACATAAGACACATAAGGCCCAACAAGATACTGAAATTTGCCACCTACACACAATTTCTCCAGCTTCTTTTTGACACAATGGGGAAATACAGAATCTTTATAGCACCAGGTTAGGCTATAACTGTGATGTTACCTGAGTGACTGAAGAATAGCATTCATAAAACATGTGTTCCCCAAATTCCGAAGGCCTGTAGCACAAAGGGCAGTGGTACTTCCCTGCAAATTCAAAGTAAATGACACAGTCAGTAGGGGATATCAATAACTGCAAGTAATAACCAATTGTTCCACACCACAATACTATCATTTAAAATAATGATGCTATATCAAATCAGAAATCAACTTTCCTGTCCAGGGGTATCTGTCAAGATGCACTTTTTCCTCTCTTCTGTGTAAATAATACTGTATTTTTCCAAATCATCAATTCAAACTCTAGAAAAACACTTCCCACAGTTTCGAGAGATTGTCTAAGATGAATTTGTTCAACTTCACAGACAAAAAGACCTTAATATTTAACTATTTACAGCTACTCTAAATCATCATCTGCTCTTTGCTTTTGTACATACATATGATTACATAGTTGTAAATCATGTTATGCTACTACTGCATGTTTTGTTTTTTCCTAAACATTATTTCATACATACATTTCTAGGTATCCACACACTTGTCAATTTTAATAGCCACACGATATTCCATAGTATTATTATATCATAGTTTAATTAGTCCCTATTGTTGGGCAATGGTCTTTCACAATTTTAAGCATTATAAACATCTCTGTACAAATCACCTGGCTTCCTTTTGGGATTTTTCTCTTGAAACACAACACAACCAAAAGCGGAATTGCCAGGTCTAAGGATATGAACGTTTTTTTACAACTATTACATATCACAGTTTCTCGCCTGAGACAAACATCAACTACCACTCATGATACTATCTATTTCTCCATATCACCAATATTTTGTTTTTATTATTTGGATATATTTTCCCTCTACAAAATCCAACTCCAACGCTTCATCATGGTACTAGAGGTCACTCTGTGTTCCCAAAGCCTATACCAGTGATGCACAAGCTGTAGTAAGTTTATTATGCTGAAAAGACTTTGGCCATGGTCCCAGTGACTCTGTGTCTACTTTCTGAGAACCAGTCTAGGTAAGGTGAGGCTTATCAGCTGTAGGCTGATCATGTTAGGTAATGAATCTTCTGGCTATGCCCTTAAAAACAAAGTAACCATAACCAAAAAGAAAACATTTGTCTTACATGACCTATTCTTGAAAATATCATACTTAATCTTAATGATCACCTCCTTCCCTTTATAAATGCTCATAAACTATCTCTTAATAATATGTAACCAAAACGTCAAGTGGAATTCCTGAAACCCTCTACTCTTGGCAACAGAATTGTTTGACCTTGGGAAATGTCTCTCTAATACTAACACAGCTTGTGTTTTGTCCTCACTTAGATAAATATGGAAACACCTGAATTTGGTTCATTTCTGTCTTTGCATCAGCTCGTCAGCAAGCAAATACAACTTATAAATGTTTGAACATAATGAGAACGGCACTCACCTCTGAGCCACGAGCAAGGGAATAGGGTCTCTGGCTTTCCTTAGCCTAGCCTGTTTCCCACATATGACATTCTACCTCCCATTTGTTTTTGAATGTTCTCCCTCCTTGCATTTGTGTCTGGGGATCTCCCTAGTTCTGTTCCAGGTTCAAGTCCTGTGCCACCTTCGATATGAGGATTTTCCAAATCACATGCATCTTTAATGCTCCTCTCCCCCAAGTCACTTTGCACGTACTTGTCAGTGTCTCTACAGCTTCCTGCCAGTGGAATGAAAGCTTCTTGATGGCTGAGGATTGTTTAGCAATCTCAATGCCAAGCAGAGAGTCTGGCACAAAGAAGGTCTTTAATAAACGCTTATTGAATTGAGCTGAATTCCTTATTACAGGGCAGGTGGAGGAGGGAGACGGTAGCAGTAGAGGAAAGTCCTTCTACCAACGAAAACTGGTAAAAGTTCTTAAAGAGCTGCCTGGGGCATTGAAATGTTAAGTGACTTGCCCAACGACATATGTATCTATCAGGACTGGAATCTGGGTCTTAGTGACTTGAGGCTAGCTCGATAACCATTATACCATACAGCATCGTGCAATTACACGGTATAAGAAAAAAAAAATGGACTGGGAGCCAGAAGACATGGGTTTGAATCCTGACTTTTATTTAGAATCACATGATTTTAGAGATGAAAATGCCCTAAAAGTCATCTGGGCCAGTCCCTTCACCCTAGAGGGAACCTTTTAAGTACCAAAATAATGTTGACATCTTTATTATAATTCAGCTTTCCAGCAGGAACCAAAGCGTATCTTCCTATTTAGTCATGTTCCCTTTATTTATTCTACTATGGTTTTTAAATTGCCCTTGAATAAACTTAATTTGTCCTGAGTTAACCAAATATTTAACAGTTTTACCACTATTATAAATAGAATCTTTTTTCATTCCACTTGTGGGACTATACCATAGGAATACAATTGATTTTATGGGCTCTTCTCTAACACTCTAAAATCTATGAAGGCAAGGACTATGTTTGATTTTTCCACTTATCTCTCAGCATTAGTAGGCACTCAATATATTTTGCTGAATGAATGAATTCAATCAAATCTTCTATCTCAGAACATTGCTAAGATCACAAATTACTACTAGTATACTTTCTGGCTGATTTCTAAGTACAAAATAGTAACAGAAAAAAAAAGATTGAAAAAAGGGAAATACAACATTACCTAAGTACATAAGGGTAATATAGCAAAGAGCTGTTTGAGGGAAGGTGATTACAAGAGCAAAGAGGGATAGCTTCTTACAGTAAATAGTCTTTGAAATCAATGTTTTACAACCCAAAAGGGCAGGAAAGGTATTACAAGCAAAGAGCCTCCTTAGAGGCACAGAGGTTGGGTTGCTTGAGAGACCGCCAACATGAGTGTTTCAGTCCCTAAGGATGACAGCAGGGAATGAAGGGTACAGAAAATCTAGGAGCTAATTACTGAAGTCACTGAGCAAGTTCAGGGGAAGTGCCAACAGCTGGTAAATTACAGCCACAACGACAGTGAAAGAAGAATAGAAAAGGAGGTATGGGGATAGAGAACAGACTTTCAAATCCAGCAAGGTAAGTAGAGGGATTTGTAGAGGATTACAAAGGACCTGGTATCATGAGAAGAAAGTCAACTTTCCACTAAATGGAGGTAGGAGAGTTCGTTCACAGTAAGAGCAAGGGTTCCCAAGGCCACAATGGAATTGGCTGAACTGAGTTGGAATAAAACTGGGAAGAGTAGGAATCATGAGAATAGGTTGAGGATTTTAAATTCGGTAATATGAGAATGTTGCTTAAAACTTAAACGGTGGACCAAACATGTGGACCAAAACTGGAGAATCAGTACAACAGAAACAGACCCTCTTAAAAGAATAAGTTGGTAAAAGCTCTGCAGAACTGTTCAGAGAATTGGTTGACTTTATTTCTGTAAAGAGTTTTTGGTAGTTGAATTCATATAGTTCTTGCATGTATCTTGGTAAGTAGATTTTCAAGTATTTTATATATTCCATAATCTTTTAAATGGAATTTCTCTATCTACTATTGAATTTTGCTGGTAATACATATGGATTCATTTTTTATCCTGCAACTTTAACTGATTCAAATAATATTTAGTTGAGTCCCTAGGATTCTCTAAGCAAACCATTATATAATCCGCAAAAAGCAATTTTTTTCTTTGCCTATGCTTATTCCTCATTTTCTATTTATCTTATTGATCTGGCTAGCATTTCGAGTCTTATATCAAACAGTAGTGGTGACAAAAGACATTCTCGTTTTACCCTTGCTCTTACTGCAAAGGCCACAGGTTTATCTTTATTACGTATAAAGAGTCAACAATCAATGGGCTCTTGGTTTTAGACATATACTACTATGTAGTCAACAATCAATGGGCTCTTGGTTTTAGACATATACTACTATGTTAAGGGAAAGGTTCACTTTTCCTATGTTTTCTAGTTTGTTTTCTTTCCTAAAAAACAAAAAAACAAAAACAAAACACGGAAACAGTAGTTGTATTTTGTCAAAAGCTTATTCTGTATTTATTGATATCATCATGACTTTTGACCAGCCTTGAATTCCTGGTATCCAACCTCATCACAGTGTATGACCTGTGATATTTTGTTGAAGCCATTTTGCTAATATTTTATTTAGAAGTTTTGCATGAATGTCAATTAACGATAATGTTCCCTAGTTTTCTTTTTTTATTTTGATTGTCCTTGTTTTAGGTAAAAGGACCATATTTGTTTCATAGAGGGTTAGTAGGATCTCTTCTTTTTCTATTTGTGCAAATAGTTTGTATAATACTGAAACAAGATTTTCTTCAAATATTTGATAGAATTCACTTGTAAATCCACTTGATTTTTTTTTCTTTTGGAGCGCATTTGTGATTTATTTTCCCAAGATCAAGGTATTTAAATTCTCTATTTCTTCTAATGTTAATCTGGGTATTTTATGTCTTTGCAACTAATCATTCATTTCATTTAAAGTGTTGGTTTTATTGGCATATAGTTTGGCAAACAATGCTCTTCCCATAAAACAAATCTACATTCATCTTAGAGTATAAAACTGGAGGAAATTATTATTAATCTGAGTTTTCTGAAGAATTATAATATTTAGTTAATTTTCTACCATCAATAGAAGGTCTTGAATAATAAAGTTATGGAACTATACTAAAATTTTTAAGACTTACATCCAAACTCAAAATCTTATAAAAGTGAATGTTGAAAATTATCTTTATATGTAATTGGAAAAAATAAAATACTATTAAGTGGGAAAAAATAAAATTATGGTATTTCCACCTAAAAAAAAAAACCCTGAATCCAAGAAGTATTTTTAATAGTATCTTATTTTTCAGAGCACCACTGTAAAGAGATACAGTGTTAAAGCAAGCCACATGTACTTGAATAGATTGAGAAAACAATAAAGGAGATGTTTGGAACACTTAAAATCTCGGAATGAATCTGGAACATTATAATTTAAGTCTTCTAACTCCAAACTGAGTTCATTTCCCACTAAACTATAGCTTCTTGTTACTCAGATCTCTTAATGTAAGTAATCAAGTATATAATAAGTTTTCATCTAAGTATGACTGTCAGCATTCCATAAATTTTGGGGATTTCTTATGTACAGTTATTGTAATCTGGATCACCTTCCTGATCCAGGCTTTGAGAGGTAAGGGAAATAGGGAAAACAAGGGCAATCAGTTTGTAATAACAATACTACCATACATTTGTGTAGCAGTTTACCATATACATACAGTTTTCAAAGTTCTTTAGGTCTCAAACATTCTATGAGGGAGTTAGGGGAAATTTTATTATGAGATAAGGAAACAGACTCAATGATGTTAAATGACTTTCCCAAAAGTTTTAGCTTATTAAATAGTGAAGTTACAACTAGATTTCCTGACCCAAATATTCTTCCACTTACTTGTCTTTATAGTTTGGGTAAGTACATGGTTAGTGAGAACCTTGATGTGTAGATTCTACTTTGTCCATTTTAGTCTCTCCTACCAGACAGGTTCTACGGCCCCTGGATCTCATGTCTATTTATATAATCTCACTTCCTTAACCTCTCCTTAACTTCTTATTCTTCTTCATTAGCATTTGCACAGCTTCAAAGATCCTTGTTGGAATGCACTCAAAATCCAGCCTTGGATTATTTATAGGAATCTTCAAGAAGTATATTGAAATTTTAGTACTGTGTCAAAATAACAGCTAAATCATACCAACTAGCTGATCTCAGAACAAAGTTTAATTACTTACATTTACTTTTAACAACTTGCTGTTTAGAGATGAGTTTTCCAAAAGTTTCCTTTTCCTATGTCTGTCCGCTGTAAAAGCTGAACTATAGAGAAATAAATTAGACATTACTATAAAACCTAAACAAAACAGATTAAGGTTTTAAAGATACCCAAGTAGTTGAATGGCATGCCAGAGTAAGGGCTATATTTCCATACACACACACACACCCCCATCCTCCCCTCCTGGGAGAATGAAATGACTCAAAGCTGCATTTAGCTGGAAAGTCTTCTCTCCTGGCCCTCTCCCCAATTCCTCTCCCTGCACCCCACCGCATGTCACAGACTTCCACCTCCCAAAATGTTCACTCTTCTCGTATTGGAGGCGTCAGGTGGGGAAGAATAGCTTCTGAACACAAAAAGGTTGGGGCACACTAAGCTAATATTATCCTTCAGGAGCCATAATTTTCAGTCCAGAATGTGCTAATTCCTTGCTTTAACATATGGCTTTGAAATTTATAGTAAACATTTGCCTTAAAACAAGTAATACCTTCCTGAAGAATTTATTCAAAATGAAGTGGGTACCCTAAAGTAAATATAAATTAGCATGAAAATTCTGAACTAAGATAACGCAACCTTTTGCTAGATAAAAGGAATGCTTTACATGGAATTTATCCAAGAGCAACTCCTCGTCTTTGAAAAGTCATTCAAATGTCAAAAATTACTTTTAAGTTACCATATGCGTGGTTTACCAATCAAAAAAAAAAAAAGAGCTACATAAGCTAACACTAACTATTGGTGTACAATTTTCCCCCCTCTCTTGAAAAAGGTATGCTGTTTGTTATACTATGTCCAGTCAATTTCTGCAGAATAACTACATAAATAATAATATTACAGATTACAGATTCTAGTGACATCCAGTCAAATATTACAAGGCTTAAAAATATGGCCAGAAAGAATTAAATCAAAACTGTGTGTATTCTTTTGTCTTTTTTGTCTTTTTAAATATAAGTAAGATCTATTTCCATTTTCTCTAGCATATGGGCCAAAGTGAATTACTATTGACCACAATTGTTTTTAAAGTGTGGATCAATGGAGAATAAGATAAAATTAAGAATTCATTATGCTTCTAAACAAGCTATCTACACTAGGAAAGCTATAATTCTACAACTAGTTCATAAGAATTATGTGACCCTAAATATTTAAAACAAGAGATACTATGCCAACACTCAAACATCTTTTAAAATCTGCAGCTATGCCTATTATGCAGTGTCAGGTTTATAGTGACCAATTATAATCACTGCCATAATTCTAACATAATAAAATGGCAGATATAGTAGTCAAGAAACTGCATCAACAACATGATACTAAAGTTGTTTGCTCTTTAAAAAGGCAAATAAAATGTATTAGTCTAAAATGTAAGAACCATTAGGTTCTTACACCCTAACAAAAAATGTTCTGAAATCTTTATTGGTTGAATTTTGGAATCTAAAATTAAGATACAGAAAACTTATCCAAGCCTATATGTAAAAATATTTTAAAATCAGGAGCTTGATCCACCTAAAGAAAAAAGGTAACACTATTTAATATACCTAAAAACAGAATATAAACTACGTGAGGACAGGTTTTATTTCCCTTCTGTTGTGGTATCCTCAGTCTTAAGTTCCTGGCACATAGTAGATGTTCAATAAATGCTTGTTGACCAATTTTGTTTTATTTTGCTTATTTAAAATTACCTACACTCGCAATGCTAGCTAAAGTGATTCCTAAACTTGTTCAAAGACTTCTTCGACCTCTAAGGCCATTTCTACAAGGAGGGAGCAAACAGGGAAGTTCTTCACTATTAAAATGAATGGCCAATTCAACTGAAGCAATCAGTCAGCCTTTACAGATGACCTTATCAGACTAAGACTGCCTGAGGTTTCTAAGGCACATCTAATACTTATATCTTTTTTTTTTTTTGCCTCAGTGTCTTGCAGTCAAAGTTTCTTTGCATTTATAATATCATGTAGATTTTACTTGATTGTCTTTCCTCTAAAAAAAAAAAATCACACCAATGAACATCATTATAGAGAAAAGAATCTTGCTTCTAGAAATTTCCAGAAATTTATATATTTTAATTATACTGAAATATATTTATGATATTCAAAAAGGGAAAAAGGCATTTTAAATTAAATTCCTCTACATCAGCAGGTGTCAAACTTAAAAAGAAATGGGGGTCACTAAATCATACATATCGATTCTTGCAGGTCATATATTGACTTTGAAAACTACATATTAACATTATTTATGTTCAACTGTATTTTTATTCATTTTGTTAAATTTTTCCCAATTAGATTGTAATCTCACTCAGGCCCACTGGTGAATGTCAGTTCTCTGCCATTCAATTTTTTTTTCCCATTTGCATATTACTTACTTTTCCAAGTTCTGTAAGTGTTCTCTGACTTTCTGTATCAGTCCAAGCTTGGTATCATTTACCACAAAATCATCACAGCGATAACTGCAAGGAAAATATTCATCAGTGTATGTTAGAAAACCATAATAATGAAATCATTCAAAGGTTTAGCTACTGCTAAGATGATCACATGTTTTTGTCGGCCCTTACTGTAGGTGGTCAGTTTTAAGAGCACAAGTAGAATCTAATGGAATGTTTTATGAACACTAAATATACAACTGTCGTACAGAGGTCTCTTTCACATTTTTCTACATATATAGATCATAGTTTTGTTACAAAGTCTCTACAATTCCTCTTTCTAAAATGAAACACGGCATATTTTTAGTTTTTTAATTCTCTTCTTATAAGAAAAATGTAGTAAAAAGCACAAGTCCTATTTAAGTTACTTCAAACCTAAAGTTACCAAATGTGATTATATTGTATATAGCTTAAATCAAGAGATTGAGAGAAGAGTCTTTAAATGAACAGGGAAGGAACCACACATTTTAATAATCTCCAGTAAAGTTTAAATAGAAAAGTACAATTAAAACATGTACATAATTTCAAGTTTTTAAATAAATTTTAACCAAAAAAATTAAGTTTACTTTATATGAGTTTCTGAGGGGAAAGAGAAGTTATACCAATAAGTAGGAATAATCATTATCTTTGAAGTATTAACTCTTAGAAGAAATGTGCAAAATGTGTGAAAAAATGGCTGTCACTATAAGAAACTGATAACTACCTCAAAGGAAGGAAACATTTTTGCAAAGTCATCATATAAGCAGATAATGTGAGAAATCACATATAACAATTCCACTAACGCTGCAATAATGAACAGATTTTTATCTTGGAACAAAGACAACATGAACAAAAATAACTTTCAAAGTGATACCAAAATATCTTCCAGAGTATACAGGAATCATGTATAGTCAACCATTTATTACAACCACTACAGAATAATAAGTAACACTGTCATTCTTAGATGACAAAACTTTGGAAGCATTACAGTTTTACAGAACTTTAACTACCTTTTAAAGTCAATAGATATTTATTAAACATTTTCCTATTGCCATGCACTGTACTAAGTGCTAGAACCAAGTATAATGTCATCTGCAATAGGAAGCCTTCTCTAACTTCTTCCCCTTCTCTCCCCCTCATCAGTAACGACTGTTTCAACCATATCACTTTATTTGGACCTTTCTAATGCACTTACATCTTATTCTGTATCATAGTTATTTGTATATGTGTAATATTTGCTATTAGATTGAACATTCCACAAAGGTAGAATGAGATCATGTCTTATCTAAACTTTGTCTTTTCCAAGGTTGAACATAATGTTCTGCACATGCAGGTGTTTGATAAGTGTCAGTGAATCCAAATGTATCTCATATTCCTGAAACTGACCAAAATAAAAGAAGAAATACAATAGTGCAACAGGGATAGGAAATGGATCTGTGCTTTCATTGGTATAAGGAACTCCTGGGAAAGAAATCCCCTCCAGAATTTCAAGTTGACACTACTGGCAGAAATATCTAACATATCCAACTAATTTATTAATAAAGACTCATTAAATATTTTCTTCTGAAATATGCAAGGAATAAGGTGAGGTGCTTTTGTTTAGTTTTGCATAAACTTCTGTGGTATGGGACTATAGTCTCAATTCAACCAATGTATTTATAGACAGTAACCTTGGGCAAGTTATTAAATGCCTTCATTTCTAGACCTCTAAAATGGAAATATTATTTGCCCTTTTAAAATATTTATTTTTATTACTAATTATGCTTAGATACAACGGATGCTATCCAACAACCTTTTAAAATCTTTTTTATATTTTCTTTTTTCTTCAATTAAAAGTTATTTTCCCAATTACATATAAAATTTTTAACATTTGTTTTTTAAATTTTGAATTCCAAATTCTTTCCCTCCCCTACACTCTGCCCCCTTCCTGAGACAGCAAGCAATTTTATACAGGTTACATACATGCAATCATACGAAACTTATTTCCATATTAGCCATGTTGTGAAAGAAAACACAGACCAAAAAAAAAAAAGAACCCACCAAAAAAAGGTAAAAAATAGTATACTTCGATCTGTATTCAGATTCCATCAGTCCTTTCTCTGGATGTGGATACCATTTTTCATTATGAGTCCTTTGGGATTGTCTTTGATCACTATGTTGCTAAGGATAGCTAAGACTGAGTCATTCACAGTTGATCATTGCACAATATTGCTGTTACCATGTACAATGTTCTCCTGCTACTGCTCACTTCACTTTGCATCAGTTCATGTAAGTCTTCCCAAGTTTTTCTGAATCCATCCTGCCTCTTTACCTGTCTCATAGCGAAAAACAATCATTTTTCTTATTTTTTCCATTCTATTGCGTATATGGTATCATCTTAGGTTCATCCTGATGTACATTTCTCTAATCACTAAAGAATGAGAACTTTTTTATGTGGTTATTAACAGTTTGAATTTTCTCCTTCAAAAAATACTAATTGTTCCTAATCCTTGAACACAACACTAGGGAGCATAGATTAGACTTATAGATATGTATGAATTGTTGCTTAATTTTTATCGACACATTTTGTTTTGACACAACAGGTATTTCCTACAAACAATCACATAAATCTTCAAAGAACTTCCACCTCAGACAAATTATGTAAAACCCGTAACCGGATGATTAGGGCCAAGAGTACCTGTCATTTTCCAATATTCGGTGTGCTGACTAAAAAGGGCCATGTGCTTTAACTTTAATAATACAATACCAATATGGGCCCCTTCTGTTCTACCTGAGTTTTGTTGCTTTTTAGTATTGTGTTTCTTTACACCACTAAAGTGACAGAAAGCATGGTGGTACCCTCAACAAAAACAGGCAAGTTCAGAAGGTGGGGACATGGGGAATTTAAGATGCCTACTGAACTCTAGATTGAAATATCCAATAAGCAGTTGGTGATCTGGGATTAGAATTTGGGAGACTAGGAATTAATATAGAGATAGATGAATGAATAAACATTTATTAAGCACTTAATATGTGTCAAGTATTGCGTTGACTGCTGTGGAAACAAATGCAAAAAGCAGGAACTTCCTGCCAACATATCTGCCTCATTCAGAGGCAGACCATCATCCAGCTCCCACATACCTACTGTAGTAAAACCCTGAACTGAAGTTTACTTCAGACTAAATAACGATTAATAAATCCCATGAGAAACTGCAGTAAAGTTACTTCTTCTAATCTCTAAAAGTCAGCCAGAAGCCCACAGACAATAGGAAAAGGAGGCCCCACCAACAAAGTCAACACAGAAGGTAACATCCAAGCAAGACCAAAGAGACATGGATAACCTAGAACAATCTATGTCCATATTGAACAAGGTGGGAGGACTCCCTTGAGAAAGCCCCTGGATGGTCAGAAAGCCTGGGGATAGTGGGGGAGAGGTGGAGCGGTGATGAGAGCTTGGAAGGCTCAGAGATGGGCAAATACTGAGCACCACAACGCTGCAGTGCTGAGAACAATATACACCACAAGTCCAAGAGCTCTGACGACCTTAATACTGTTTTCATAAGCCAAAAAAGGCCCTAAAAAGCTAGTGTTTTGGGACAGCTAGGTGGCACAGTGGATAGAGCTCTGGCCTTGGAGTCAGGAGGACCTGAGTTCAAGTTCAACCTCAAACACTTGACACTTAACCCCAACTGTCTCAGCAAAAAAGCACAAACAAAAAAAATCTAGTGTTTTACAAACCATAAGGGGGCATAAAAAGGGTAGTTATTACTGTATTCCTACTCTACTCCACCCTCCAACTAAACTACTTACCATCCTTCATATATGCCCAATGCTTTGTTTCCTCTGTGCTTAAACTCCCACTAAAATCTGTTTTTCAATGTTACTCCCATCTCACCCTGTGAAAGTCTAGTTATCCAGTTACCCATTGCTATCTACAGGAAAATTATGTTATAGTATTTGTCTTTACAACCCAAATGTGCAACTCTTCTATTTAGGCTTCACTTATACCCTCTGATGTGGAGTCCATAATCCCTTTCTGTCTTTTCAAGTCCAGTCTCACCTGCAGCAGGCTGCCTTCACTATAGATACATTTCCTCCTTAGGATCCCATATCATCTTCCTGGGATATTTAGTCATGAGAGATGAATATTTCCAGTAGTTTCTAGAAATTACTGAAAATGTTCATCCCTCATGACTGCAAAAAAAAGGGAGGAGCATTTCCCTGCGTGCTTCTCTATTTGTAACACTAGAGACAGAGAAGCAAATATGCCTAAGAAAACCTGTTCCACTTTATGAAACCACAGCTTTTGCCTTTATCACTGAGCTGGCCTGGTTGGAAAGATGAGGAATGAGGGAGAGCTAAGCAAGCTTTAGACTTTTTACAGAACCATCATGGAAATTAAGGTCAAATGTGTTCCCTAGTTATGTATTTCTTTTCTGCCCCAAATTGGAAATGTTGGCTCATTGATACAGTTGTATACTTGTGCTGCCTCTGTCCTAGAATGCCAATTCAACTAACATTAATTAAGCATCAATATTTGAAGTACTACAGACATATGAATAAAAACAAAACAGTTCCTTCCCTCCAGGAGCTTACAGTTTACTGGGAGAAAGTAATATGCATACAGATAAATTAATACAAATTTACATAAAGTAATTATGGGATCTGAGGTAGAGGGAACTAATCTAAGCCTTCCCTTTTGTTAGTATAAGGCAGTAAAGGCCTACTGCTTTATAAATGCATTTACTGGGCATTCTGATTTTTTTTTTAACGAAACCTCCTTTTAGGTTCCAAAGCTAGAACAAAGTGAAACATATCTCCCAGTGGGAAAAATAAAAAAATCTCTTTGCTTTGAACATGAGTCCTTATACCTCTCTTAAGCTATTATGTTACAGTTTGTACTATAATTATCATATAGCTATTTGTAGAAATATTAGACATTTCTGCATGTCTTTTATCTCTCCTGTTGTAATGTCAACCTCATGAAGAAAGAGACATCTTAATTATTTTTGTGTTTCCTCCAGCACCTAACAATGATAAACATATAGTAAGCACTTAATAAGTGGTTGTTCAAAAGTCTACTTCTCACTCCCTATCCCTACCAATGTTATTCCATCCTTAGGTCACTTCTCATTAACCATTTCATTCTTTCTCCCTTTCAGTCCAATACACAAATTCCTTCCTTAATCACCCACTACTGCCTACAGCAAAATTATGACGCAGTATTTGTGTACAAATAGTGGGGCTAATACAGTGCCTGGCACATAGTAAACACTAAATAAATGCTGATTTAATTGAACTGAAAGGTTTCCATTCCCCTTTATTCTTTCATCTACATTATTCATTACTTTCAGTTACATATATCTTCTGTTTTGTTCTATTTGTTCTTCTTGTAGGCCTAGACATTTTCTAACATAACACCCTAAACACATTTCATAGAGCATACTGACAAACACATAGCCAAATATACCCAAAATCACACAACGACATTCAGAGAAACCATTTTCCTACCCTTTGTTTCAGATGTAGTGTTAAACAATCTATTACACTAAAATTACCTAACCACATAAAAAAAAAAACCCCATTACTGCTTTACTAGTCTACATTATATGTACCTCTCTCTTCCTGTTTCTACTTTTCTATTTGCTTTTTTTCATTATTTTGCTTATTCCTCAGACCAACCATTTGTAGGTCAGTGGTCACCTATGGGCGTTCTCAACCTTAAAAACACTAACACTGAGTTCTGTAAGACCGACTACCTTTGAAACTTTTATCACTTCCAATTTGGGCTATTAGATTTTATTTGTTCCATTTAAGTCACATTTCAATTCAAAACTATTCAAAGTAGTTTCAAGTAGATTTCAGTAGAAAATGTCTTTAGAATATTCTCCCCCATATTATCCTCTATCCTTAATTCAAAAAATACATTGAAATAATAGCTCTTAAATAAATTTGATTTAACTCCAAAATAAGAGCAGTTTTGATAGAAAAGTCTACTAAATTGGGTGCTGGGCAAGTAGCTGGTTTCTAGTCCTAGATCTGCTACTAGAAGCTGTATGAATAAATAAATCATTTCAATTCAATAAGCATTTATTAAGCAACTGCTATGTGCCAGGCTCTATGCTAGGGCTGAGGATATGAAGGAAAAAAAAAAAAATCAAAGTGAGGGGCAGCTAGGTGGCGCAGTAGATAAAGCTCTGCCCTTGGAGTCAGGAGGACCTGAGTTCAAATCCAATCTCATACACTTGACACTTACTAGCTGTGTGACCCTGGGCAAATCACTTAACCCTGATTGCCTCAGCAAAAAGCACAAAAAAAAAACCAAACAAACTGTTTTTGTCCTCAAAAACTTACATTCTACTACAGGGAAACAATATGTTCACAGATAGATTCAATAGACAAACTGACTGACAGACAGATAGATAGATAGATAGATAGATAGATAGATAGATAGATAGATAGATAGATATAAAATAAATACAAAGTAATTTTGGGAGGTAGAGAGAATACTAACTGGGAGAACCAGTAAAGGACTCTTGTGGCACTTGAACTATGCCTTGAAAGGAGTAAAAGACTCTTACAGGAGGTAATGAGGGGATATTCCAGGCATCAGGCTAGCCGATGAACGGGCACAGAAGTGAGGGATAGAATGTCATGTATAGGGAACAGCAAGTAAGCCAGTCTAGCTGGTACATATAGCAATATAATGAAGAGTAACATGAAATCAGTCTGGAAAAATAGAGGTATATTGTAAATGGCTTTAAATGGCAAATTAGAGGAAAAAGAGAGTCACTGAAGTTTCTGGAGCAAGGGAATGACAGAATCTCTGAATTAGAAAGGACCTTAAAGACTATCTAGTCTGATCTAAATTTGAACAGTAAGATCCTCTTTAACATCTGCAACAAGCAGATCCAGGCTTGCTAGAAGATCCACTATCTCTCAAGGCATCCTACTCCAGTTCTGGCTCTCTGTAATTATTACAGAATTCCTCCTTGCAACAAGAGTTATTCGGCCTCTCTTTGACTTTCACCCATTGCTCCTCATTCAGCCTCTGGTACCAAGGACAAGTCTGGATCTTAGGTACAATGTGAATTAGACTAAGTCTCTGACTTTCATAAAAGCTTTAAAAATAAAAAGCAATTTTTTTATGATAAAAAATGTCCTTTTAAATAAATTTCAACCATATACCGTGTTTACTGGCTGACTTTTAAAAAGTTGAGGTGATTTTCTTTATCTTTTTACAAGAAAACAAACTACACATACAGTATATGTAAGACAAATTATCTACAAGTAGACAGATATGCTATTATATATAAATCTGTTTAGCATTTGTATGGTGTAAGGATATATACAGAGCAAGCATAGAGAATACAGGGCAAGGTTTTTCTAAATCATCCCAAGACATGTTAAATTAGTGCCAAATTCTCATTTTAAACAGAGTAAACTTCTGGTGAATTTTCTGGCCCTTCTCCACTTCAGGGAACATCTGAGAGACACACACGGCTTTGGTCTTTTGTGATTCTCCTGATTTCTATATACTATGGTCTGTAGAAGCTCTAGCTATCTCAAGCAGATGAAAGGGAATAATTTTTCCTGTTTTAAATTTTTATCCAGTGAAAATGTGTTTCATTAAAAATATCATCAAACATAGATGGGGAAAAAGGTCTTATTGCCTTGTCAATTTGAAAAACTTAAGAAATGGAAGATATGTCTGACTTCACTGCTTGTCAATTCTGTCAGAACAGGAAACTTTCAAAATAGAGAAATTCCATGTTCTAAGTCATACACTGAGAAGCTAAAAAGATATTTCCAAATGATCCTCCTATTTATAAAACAATAAGGAATAATAATCACCCTTCACCTGAAATTATAAATATTTTAATAAAGTTATTTTTTAAAAAATATATTATCTATCAAATTCAGTTTGATCAGCTTTAGTTAGCAAGTTACATGGAATTGTATAGCACACCTCCAAAAAAGAGGACAATTGTGGGTACTGATTCTTATAATCCATTGGCTTTATAACAGACCTGGAAATGTGAATGTGGTAGGATAGGAAGGAAATGGTTATTTGTTAGACTGTAAACTGCCCAAATTAATTTAAGAGGATATTTTTAATGCCAAAAGAAGTCAAAATGTCCTGTTTGTATTTTAGATGGCAGCATACAATGCTAACAAAACAAATTGTTACTTTAGGCTACTTCATATATAACAAATAGAGAAAAATTTAAAATTTCAAAGGAATATTTTTCAGGCAGCAGAGGTCTTTAAAATTTAAAGAACGTCCAGGCAACTAAGAAAAATTAGGAATACACTTCGCTGGGGTGGGAGGGGAGGAGAAGGTGAACAGCACTATATCCCTTATTAAAGATTAAAGATGCCAAGAATTAGATTACTAGCTGAAAATAAAAGTTATTTATATAATTTGACTGCCTGTGTTGCAAAGTATACTTAAAAGAAACCCAAATAACCCAAAAATATTTACAAACTATTGTTTTGGTTTTTAAATTAAAGAATTCTAGGCCTATATGGGTTTACCTGCTGTATGACTGAAAATGTAGGTCAGGAATAGGTAAATAAAAATTTACTGAAGTTGTTTTTTAAAATTTTTATTTCTTTCACCTTTTAAAATGTTTTCATAAAATAACTATTTGGAACCCCAACAACAACTTTATTCTTACTAAACTTAATAGAAGATGATCCCTTTACACAGAGGTTGTTGTAAACTCTAAAAAGGTATTTAAATTTTTTTTTAAAGGGATAGCCTTTGAAAACTCTCTCAATTTAAGGATTCTATAATTCTAAAGGAATAAATTTACTCTCATCCCAAAATACTTCTCATTCTATGAAGGAAAGACCGACTGAACTTGGGAGTCCAAAGACCTGACATTTCAGTGCCACATATTAAAGTTAAGCAATACAAAAATTTAATGACTTGAAATTATACCCAGTAGATGTAGACTGTTAAACATTACCTGTGCTCTAAACCACCTGGCCAGAAGTAGATGGTCATTTAACTATGTGTGTTTTTGAAGAAACTGTTATATATTACATGAACAAAGCAAGTGTTTACTGTAAGCTCCCTGAGGGCAGAAAATGAAAGTATTTTGTCTTAGCATCTTCAAGCATAGAATAGGCACTTAATAAATGCTTGCCTGCTGACTGATGTGCAGATACATCTGTTAAGAGGTCCCAAAACTTGGGGAGGATATGTGACTTTTTATGTTTCCAAAGCTTTGAGAGCAGTAAGGAAGATCAAGGAACTAAACATATGTCAACAGTAAAGTTTGTGCATGTGTGTGCTGGGGTAGGAGGAGGTATGGGGAGGAGGGAAGAGAATAGACTGAAATGTACCTTTCTAGCTACATATTCCTCAGCAAAAATACTAGAGTGAGCGTGATTTTGGCAGCAGCTGGTTTAGTTCAGTAATCATGGATCCCTATTTACTGGTTGAGAACCCTTGAGATTTTATATTTATACACAGACAAATACATGTTACGCCAAAAAAACACTGACTTACCAGTATGTACTGTAACTACTGCAATCCATGCACACAGTGTGTTGAACTTTCTCTTGCTTTTCTGTTTTCTTATGGTTGGTTAAGGGAATCTGTGCATCTTCATAATGTTTTTTTGCATGACCATTCACATACCTTAAAAAACATAGTAATGAGAATCCATTTTAATCTAAATATTCCCTGAAGAAACTTAAGTATTTATCTCTAATAATAGAATTAGACCATACTAGTCAAAACATTATGATGAAAAGAAATAAATGCAGCTGTCCAAATATAAAATAAGTTTCATATATACTACATTTTGTATTTATCTATTACAAAAAAAAAACAACTCTTAATCATCTACAACATTAAGGACTATTTAATAAGGCATTACTTTTAAGATAATTTAACTAAATGCGATAGATATCAATTATTCATCTTTTGACAATATTAGCACGATGACTGTTTACTATTACTCTGAATTTTGACTTCTAAATCTAAGACAGATTGTGACTAGGAAAGACCCTTTAAAACAAAATAACTTAATTACCTCACTAAGGAAAACATAAAACAAACAGCATTCAGGAAAAGAAAAGAGAAAAAGAACACAAGAAGCAAAGAAGGATGAAAGGAAGGAAGAGAGAGAGGAAAAAAGACACAAAGTCTAAGCTGGTCTTACGTGCAAGACAATAATCAACATGAGCAACAGATTGTGAGAAACAAGAATTAAATAAAAGCCAGACGTGGAAGTAGGACAGCATTCCCACTCTTCCTGATGGCTATTTACAATGCGGTTTCAATTCTTTAATCTGAAGGTTGTGAATTCTCAGAAATACCTATATTCCAATGTATTTTTAAAAAAACATCACAAAACTAAATACAAATTATTTTAGGAAAAGCTTCAGTAATTTTAATGTCTCACATGCGTGAATAGACAGCATAGTATAATGGGAAAAGTGGCTAGACTTGAAGGCATGGAGGCATGGATTCTCATCCTGCCTCTGACATTTAATATCTGTGACCATAGGCAAGTCACAACTTCTCTGAGCTTCAATTTTCCTCATCCTCACAATGAGAAAATACCTGTAGTCACTATCTTACAATGCTGTTTTGATGATCAAATGACAGGCATAAAACACTTGTAAACTTTGAAGCGCTATATAAATGTAATTAGTATGATATTAAGAGAACCAAGCACTAATTATATTCATAAAATATTTCAGTTTTTCAACACAGGTTTAATGGTTTTCAGTTTGTATAACTACTATAACAATTACACTTGAATGGACACAATTAAGAGTTATATGTAAACAGCCAATAATAAATGACTAAGTTCACTCATGACTTGATCTCAAAAAAGGCACAATTTGAAACAACAAAAAGTTCAATAAATTCAATAATTGACATCAGTGGAATTGTGGCAACCCTTAAAAATGAATTTCTTATGTCTAAAAACAAACCAGATTGTACAAAAATTAGACCGATTTGAAAAGTGAAGAGTTGATACAAATGCTTATTCAATTTCACCAAAACCAAATTCCAGGGACACACATTTCATGATGAGGATACCTCTTACATATAAATTACCAAAAATCAGGCACAGCTCTTACTTTGGATATTTTGAAAACCATACTCAATAGCCTGGCCACAAGGAGATGGAAGAAGCAGTTTCTTCCCCAATTTTCAACCATCAAGATTTCCAATCCTGCCAGAGAAAAAAGGGAAGAAGCAGCTCCTCTCTTCATAGTGGTAAATACAAACAATATCTGAAGTTTAAAAAACTATCTGAGGGGCAGCTAGGTGGCGCAGTGGATAGAGCACCGGCCCTGGAGTCAGGAGGACCTGAGTTCAAATCCAGCCTCCAACCAAACACTTGACACTTACTAGCTGTGTGACCCTGGGCAAGTCACTTAACCTCAATTGCCTTAAAAAAAAAAAAAAAAAGACCATCTGAACACATAATTTCTTCTGTTCACATGACCTTAAAATGCACCGAACTATTTGCCTTCCCATGTACAATTCATTTACTCAAAATCTAAATGACATAAATGACCAGATGAACAGTCATTTTTTTCATTTTTCCTTTTTTTTAGGGGGGAAGGGGGAAGTGTACACACATACACACATATCCTACACTCTATAAAAAACAGACTAATGATTATTACATAATTACTCAATATTCAAATTCATCTGTGATCTCATCAATTTAGGAGTTCCCTCCAAAAATCTGCAATGCAAATTGCAACCCATTCATGTCCACCCATCCTTTATGACTTTCATCCATGGCCTTCTAAAGGTTCACTAACGTCAAGTTCTCACCCCACGAGCTAAAAAGCTTCCTTGCTCACAGACATTATGAGCCTGAGTATTCTTGCTGTCTACCTGTCATGCTTTGTCTCACCACATAACCAACATTTTCTTCTCTTTCTGCCATCCAATTCTTGGATGACATCCATTCATCTATGCTTTTGTTGTGTTACTCAATTGTAACGTGCCATAGCCTGCTCACATCCACCAAGCACCTTTCCACCACCCTCTGTATGACATTCATCTTTAGTTCTTCAGAGGCAGGGTGTTACAGGTCTTGCTCCCATATGGCAAAGATGAAAAAACGTTTAAATTAAAAAGATGGGCCTTTGCTGTTATTGGAACCTTGAGGTCAGTAAAAATGTTTTGCAATGTTCAAAAAGTAATTCATCCCACTCTGCTACTTCTATTTTATTAATTCCCCAGATCTACATACTATTGGACAAGGTCTATAAGGTGTCTATTCAGATGTATGTTAAAATCTGGGCAACAGACATTCTTCATCCATTCTGTCTTTCCTGGGTGTAGAAACAAGTCAAAATTCTTTCAATGAATGCAGATCTCTTCCAGAAAGCTTGGGGTTTGGTGAAGTTAACAACAGGCACAGCCAGAAGATCTCACCTCCCACAGGGAATCCCTCTGTGAACTAAATTCTGAACTGGATCTTACATATAACAGAAGCAAACATTTTTTGGCAAGCATACATCTTGTTTTATGCCTCATCTGATGTTTATTATCTATCAGAGTCATTATATAGCATTATTTCTACTGTTAAATCTTCCATGGAATCTTAAATTATCTAGATACATAGAAGGAAGTCAACTTGTTGTAAAAGATGGCTTGATCTCAAAAAAATAAAAAGAATGTAAGGAAGCATTTTAAAAATTCTACTTAGTCGAATTTTTTTAATAATCAACAAACAATAAGAATGATGGTATCTTATATTCTCTACAATTCAATCAATTGTGAAATAAATATGTAACCTATTTTTGAATATCATTCTTAAAAGTCTGATTATTCACTACTAATACCTTCTTTAAGGATGCCCTAAATTCAAGGATAGATGAGAGAGTAGGTATATAGGTTAGCAGCTGATATTTTCTCGATCACCTTTTCTTAGAATCAATAAGGTCTGAGATTTTCTCCATGCTTTTGGTACTTCCCTTACTTGTAAACTGGTTTTACAATGCTTTCAGAATTATATCATCTCCAGCATTGATGTCCTCTAAATATACTTGATCCAATCCAGCTACTTTTATCAGCTTCATTCTCTTTAGTGCCTTTTATACTTGCTCTGTAAACACGTTAGTTATTGTGATATTGGGGTCAAAATGCAATGGTTTAACTATCCTTGCTGGAGGAAAGTTTGCTGTTATTTTTGAGATCCTAGGTTCCCATTTTAAAAAAATATTTTAAATTTTCTTCCCATTTTCATCCTTGCATGCTCTTAAAAAGACACTGCTTATTTAGATATTTTACAAAATTTTCTTTACACCAGTTTCATATCTCCACTACTTCTCTGATTTGAGATGAAATTTCTCATAACTGTTTTGCATCCTTCTTTATGAAATTTTGTGGATGAGGGGATATTCTAACCTGAAGCTGCTTTGACAGTCATCTCCACATTTGGCAAGTCAAATGCTTACTGAATAAGGCACTTGATGGGTTTTTTTGTTCTCTTTGGTTTAACTTTTGGATGAAATTGTTTTAGTTGGTATCAGTGTCACTTTCTGTTGTCCACTTCCTATATTTTATTTTCAAAAGCTTGTTTAAATAATTCAAGGTTAAATCTTTTTATTCATATGCCATATTTTTTTCCTCCTACTATTCTATCACCTTATTATAAATTCTAATCTTAGTTCTCAGCACAGACAGCTGTCTCAAGGCTAATTCCTACATCCATAAAAAGTCTTTTCTTTTCTGTTAAAATGTAGCTGATTTCACTCTTTTTGGTGATGTCTGTCCCATGCTCAATGTTCATGCCTACCATTTCTTTTTCCTTTTTCAATAAATTTATTATTTTAAATGTCTATTTAAAAAAACTTTTTTGAGTTCTTAATTCTCTCCCTCCTTCCCCTCCCCTACCCATTGAGAAGGCATTCAATGTGATATCAATTATACATGTGAAATAGCCATGTTGCAAAAAAAAACAAAAACAAAAACAAAAACAAAACCAAACAAACAAACCAGCAAGAAAAATAAAGAAAGTGAAAAATAATGATTCAATCTGCACTCAGACTTCAATTCTCTCTCTGGAGGTAGATGGCATTTTTCATCATAAATCCTTTGGAATTACCAAACCTTATTCTGAAGAGTGGTTCATGGTAGATGCATGTGACCTCTGTATATTCTGTAAGTCTTTGCCTCTCTCATTTCTTTCCCTTGAACCACACTTTCCCTTATATTTTTCCCAATACTCAACTCTTCCCAACTTTGCATGGAAGTTGCTAAGTACCACAGTGAAAGTTGATTTGATTTGGAGGGTCTAATTAAGTTCTTTGTAGAATTATTTTCCATTTCACCTTCAGCAATTGCTGATGGTGTATGAACTGGAATTAATTTCATGTTTGTCTTTTTGCAAATACTAATCATTTTTAAGGCAATACGTAATGCTCAAATGTTCCATGAAACAATATTTCTTGCTGCTTTGGCAATTCAATAAAACTCACTCCATCGAGTCATTTGTCTGACTTTCCAAGGAGTACCTGTAAGCTGTCCTTTCTTCTGGTTTCATTTAGAAAAAGAATTAACCAATATAATAGCCAATGATAATGGCTACTATTTAGATATCACTTCAAGGTTTTCAAAGTGCTTTAAAAATACTGTCTCATTCTATCCTCACGACAACCCTTGGAGGTAGGTCCTGTTATTATCCCCATTTTACAAAAGACAAAACTGAGGCAGACAGTGGTTAAGTGGCTCGACCAGGGTGACACAGCTGGTGTTTGAAGCTGGATTTCAATTCTGGTTTTTCCAAGTTTAATTCCAATACTCTATACATTGAGTCACCTAGCTGCTCATATGATAAAATGATTCAGTTTCTCCAGCAGTATACACGCACATCATCAGACAAAGAAGTCATACTTAGAGTACCAACAGTCAAATTGAAGCTTGTTAGCCAATTAAAAACTGTGATTCTTAGCACCCTATGCCTCATTTCCCATACTCTGTCACCAAGGAATAAGCAGAAAGGGGCCACACAGACTAAAGGCTATTTTAAAAATTTTTTTCCTTGTTTTATGGATTGCCATGAAAGACAAAAAAGTTTCATTTATCAGGTAGCTAGCCTATTGGCGATGTACCTCTCTGTGTAACAAGCTAGGTTGGTCCTCACAAAACAGACTTGAGTCTGTTCCTGGGATTATATTACAAAAATACTAGCATAAATAACCCAGAGATTCATTCCAGAAAGCAACTTCCAAGGCATTACAGAGCTGGTACTAGATTTGGCTCAATCTCTTATAATTACTTTATTCTACAGCACAGTAATATAATGAAAACAGATATTCACAATAATGGATCTTAGGCACTACAAGATGCTGAAGTTACCTCTTCAATCAAAAGAGGAAAATGTGTTCAGTGTGGTTTGATAAACATATTTTATATTCTTATATTTGAAAACTGATTGTTCATTCATTTGTGTACATGTATGTAGTTCAATTAAATAACATACTCCATTCTCCAACTACTCTGAATATAAAGAAAGATATGACAATTAGTAAAAATAATAACAATGTGAGCTTGACAGAACCACCATTCTTGCTTCAACAACTAACATGTTAGGAAAGTCAGGTGAGTTTAAAATGATCAAATACATCTTTTCTAACTTTTTTTCCCCCAAATCACAGAATAAATCACCTACTCCAATTTTTTCATTTACACATGCATAAACTGAGATCTAGAAAGGTAAAGAAACTTGCTCAATACTACACACACAAAAAAGTTGCAGAGCTGGGAACTACACCTGATCTTGGGAATCCAAATCCAACATTCTTTCCACTATACCATGCTACCTTAACCCGTTATTTCAATTATTAATAACTTTTTACCTTGAACCATAGTATGAAGCCAGATTCCTTTCCATATAATAAGCTCAATAACTAAAAAACCCTGAATACTTATTCTCCCATTAAATCAATAAATGTTATTTCTTATGTATAAGATCACACAAATACATTAACTAAAATCTGCTAATGGTTCCCAGTTGAAAGCATGTTCTAAGTCTACTGTTCTTCATAAGGTATTAGCTTAATGAAAACTCTTTATTCTTTAACAACTTATAAGCATGAAAAGTACAGTATGGGACCTTGTATGATGAAAGACAATGAACCATCAGCTGTTTAAAATGATGATTGTGAAAAGTCATTTTACAATTATGGAAAAATCTTATTAATTTAATTAATCAAGCTTCTTTCAATAATGTAGAGTTTTTAAATTGTTAAACTGTGTATAAACTAATAAACTAAAGGAGCCCACCTGCAGAGACCAGAAGTTTTCAAATTTATTCTTCCATATCTTACTTATGGAATGTGTTGCCACTTGCTTTAAGAACTTTAATCTCTCCGATTTGGGATCCAAATGGGGCTTGTCTGGTTTTTCACTGGAATATGAATTCCATGATTCAAGATTTTAAGTTGTTGAGCACTGTGAGACAACTGGTGAACAGAACTATATAAATTTTACAGTATTATAATTCTCACCTCTCAAAATCTAGGAAAGAGAGGAATCTGTCTCTTCAAGTGCAGAATTTAAATGCTTCTACTTTTCTTCTTTTTTGTATTAAATGTTATCTGTACAAAGTATTTGCAGATTTCCCAAATCCTAAAGATTTCAAAACCACAACAGCCAGTTAAGAGATGCATTAATATTTTCAAATGTACTCCAAATGTACATTTTAAAAATGTTTATTTCCAGGTTGATATTCTTAAAAGCAAAAACAAACTCAACAAAACTACTGCTTGTGTACTGTAAGGATTTTATGACAACAGCGAGCTTATTACTAACAATGTAAAATTATGATTTCTCATCTCCTGAAGCAATTAGCTTCTCAAATAAATTTAAAGTTGATTTTCTAAGCTATAACATTACACGCAAAAATAGCACTACCACATTGTTACAATACTAGAGAAAAAATAGCATTGAATAGAGTCTGATAAGGAAAATACTATTTAAGTAGTTGCCATGTTTACAGCTGGAATTTGAGGCCAAAAAATATTTGAGAAATCCAGGGAGAACGGCTGTAATTAGGGCTTGAAATTTTTTAAATTGAACCAACTGGAAACAATTATCTATATAGCAATATTTAGGTAATCTCTGATAAGGATTCATTATGTACTTCATAGTTAAGATATTATAATCTAATAAGAATATGCATGTAAAATATTTTGTAAATCTAAAAGTAACATCTATAAAAATGTCCACAATGATTATTACCAGATTTTTGCCTGCAATGACTAATATTAATTTCTCAATCTGTCTTCTACTTTTCTACAGTAAGATATTAAGGATCTAAAGTAAAAATATATGTTAAGAGCTTCAAAAACCTAAAAATACTATCTTAATGTCCACTATGATTATTACTAGATTGTTTCTTCAGATGACTTAATATAGAGCAATTTTAAACATTCAAATTTCTCCCTCTTTTTTTCTAGTTTTTTTTTTTTAAATCAAATATTGCTAATTTGCCTTTATGATCAAAGAATATCTTAGAATGAAGCCATATTCCCTCACCTAGATTTTCCCACTTACAATAGTGAGGAACTTTATTCTGGGAAAAAATTTGAAGGTTATTATACATTGAGATTAAACTATACAAAATAACACAATACAAATAAAACCTTGACAAAAAGGAGAAAACACAGTGTAGTACTAACAGTTTAGTACTTACCTTCCACAATGAACACTTGAACAAGTCAAACAGACCCAGGGGCTTTTGTTGGACCGGCACACTATTAAAAAGACAAAAAAGAAAAACATACAAATATACCAACTGAAATATGTATTTTTCAAATTCCTACCTTATTTATAAAAGCATATTCTATGATTGTGGGCAGCTAGATGGTGCAGTGGATAGAGTAATGGTCCTGCAGTCAGGAGGAGGTAAGCTCAAATCCAGTCTCAGACACTTAGCCATGTGACCTTAGGCAAGTCACTTAACCCTGTTTGCCTCAGTTCCTCATCTGTAAAATGAACTGGAGAAAGGAATGGCAAACCACTCCAGTGTCTTTGCCATAAAAACCCCAATCAGAGACCCAAAGAGTTGGACACAACTGATTGACTAAACAACAAATTCTACAATTGAATTATAAATACAGAAGCTGCTTAAGTAAACTGTAATTTCAAATGGCCACTTAATTTTACAGTAACATAAAATGGTCACTTAAATTAAGGTATGCTGAAAGGCAAGTTCATTTCAGCTACTGAATCAACCAAAAAAGTTTAGTTAACATGGTTATAAGTTTATATATTTTGATCCCTTATTAGCTCATTCAATTGTTTCTTGCAGTGGAGCTAAGGAGTGATTTTGAGTCAGAGGATCCAAGTTTGAATCCACCTTCAGTGTGATCTCAGTCAAGCCAGTTGACAGAGGCTCATTTTCTTATATGTAAAATTGGGGGGTGTGATTCTAATGCCCCTTCCAGTTTTAAATCCTATTATCTTAATTCACTATTATTCTATGTGTGTGTCCCCCCACCCTTAGAATAATTTCACTTTCAGGAAGGGGGGGTGTGACAGTGGGGGGAAAAAAAGGAAGTTAGAGGTAGAGGGGTAAGAAAAAGGTTGAAAATTTCTGTCATCTGACTACCAAATACTATTTTCAAAGGTTATTTAAAGACAGTACTACACAATGACACAAACTATCAGTTAAGTATGCAATTAAGGCACAATGCTAAAGCGTATTCCAATTTATTTATCTTTTGAACTGTACAACAAAAAAAAAAAGCCATGTGAAGTTTTAGATTATATAACTGCACACAAATTTTGCTAAGAACATGATCAGTGTCAACATAATCATGGTTTTAGTGCAAGGCAGGGTGAGAAAATGGTTCTGGAAGTCTGCAAAGGTTTTCTCCCTCAACATTCAATTGCTCATTTTAAAAATATCTTAATCTATAGAGGTAGCTGCAAGTGGTGCAGGAAGATAATATGACCTCAGACACTCACTAGCTGTGTGACCCTGGGCAAGTCACTTAACCTGTTTGCCTCAGGTCCCTCAGCTGTAAAATGAGGATAACAATAACACATACCTCCCAGGGTTGTTGTGAGGATCAAACGTGATAACATTTATAAAGTGCTTAGCAGTGTCTGGCACATAGTAAGTGCTTAATAGATGCTTACTTCATTCCTTTCTAGAGGGATGCTTCAAGACCAAGGATGGAGGCTAAATACTACAAATTGAGATTCATCCTATTCTTCTTTAAACAAGACTGACCAAGACCCACCCTAGTCTAGTTCTGCCTGTGACTATAAAGTCTTCTATCACGTCTGTTTGTTCATTCTCATAGGAACATATTCACAGATTGAAACAACCTTCACATACTTATTTTTAATTGTTATCTTCTACCGTGCTTGCACAAATAACTAGATTTACTCAACACATACTAGAGTAATAAAATTTGAGAAGATAAGGTTGCCAAAGTCACTGCAAAAAATAAATGAAAACTAACAGGATGCCCATCAATTTCAGAATATCTAAACAAATAAGGGTATATGAATATAATGGACTATTATTATATTGTAAAAAATAATGAAACGAGGGGTTCAGATAAATTTAAGAGGACTTTTGAACTAATGTACAGTGAGTAGAATCAGAAGAACCATTTATACAATGAATACCATCCTATAAAGTAAAACAGTTCTGATGAATATAATGAACAACCATTCACGACTCTATGAAACTTGCTTCCTACTTCTTGAAAGAGAGGTGATGGACTAGAGAATGAGACATACATGTTTGGACAGATTTCATGTGTGAATCTGCTTTGCTTGAGCTAAGCTTATTACTGTGGGGAGGAGGGAGAGCAATGACAGCGAGAATGATACCAAAAAAAGAAAAGAATGTAAATGAAACATTAAAGAAATGCAGACTTCCAGCCAAGATGGCCTCATGATTAGAAGGAAGATTGACCAGCTCTTGCCTATCTATTCCAACACAACCTTAGATTTTTCACCAGACCACAGCACAAGAGGTCAGACAGAAGCCTGAAGGCAATAGGTAAAGGGGGACTGAGAGAAAAGCAAGCACCAAAGCAAAGTAGCCTATCAGTGTAACCAATGCCTGGCCAGAGACATCTGAAGGCTGCAAGACACCGTAGACTTCATGTCCAGAATCAGTAAGAGCAGAGTACTCTTCCAAGAAAGTCTCAAGGTGGGGACTTTCAAAGTTTAAGAAAATAGGCAAACAAAAGCAATGGCAGCAGCAAGGACCAATGTGCTACCTCTGGGCTGAGAAGAAATTTTAGACCTAGAAGTCCTTAACAGTTGGTTCTGAAGTCCTTAACAGTTGGTTCTGAGATGCCAGAGAGGGCCTTAAAGAACAACACTCTGAACCTCAAAAATCCAGAGGGGCCTAACCCCAGGAGGTATAGAGCAGTAGGAAGTGGAGTCCATTCCTAGCATAAAGCCCCAATTTACAAAGTAAAACTGGAGAGATGAATAAATTAAAGAAAACTTTATGACAAAAATATTCCCAAGTTAAAGAGTCCCCCACAGAAGGAGGGGGTAAAAATGCAACTAACATAGAGATTCAAAGGAAAAAATGGATTTTCCACAAAAACTATATGACTACCTAAAGAAAGGAAGCAAGAGATGTTTAAAATAACATAAAAGCTCTGGAGGAAAGAATTAGGAGAATAAATAGCTTAGAAGAAAAAGTGGCAAATATCATCCAAGTAACAGACTCCTTAAAAAATCAAAAAGACTAAACATAAATCTGTGGTTCCATGAGACTACAAGAAATATCAGAATAAAATCAAAAGACTGAAAAATAAGAAGATATCTGATATAAAAAAACTGACATGAAAAACAGGTCCAGGAGAGATAATTTAAGAATCATGGACTCCATGAAAACCAATTTTTTTTTAAAGCCTGAATACAATATTTCAAAATATCACAAATGAAAACTGTCCAGATCTATTAGAACCAGAAGGTAAAGTGAATAGAAAGATTCACCAATCACTTCCAGAGATGAGCCCAAAGAGAAGTCCCGGAAATGTCACAGCCAAAACCCAGAGTTCCCACACCAAAGGAAAAAAAAAAAAGCAACAAACATAAAATAAAAGAGTACAAATAACAAACATAGTTTTGGATAACAAAAATATCTGGCAGGTTCTACTATAAATTAAGAAATCTTGGAATACATTTTTCCAAAAGACAAAAGAGACAAGTTTAAAACCAAAAATAACTTTTCCATGCAAAAATTAACTATAATCCTATAGAAAAGTGGACCTTAAATGGAATAAAAAAAGCCTTTCAAATGTTTCTAATAAAAATGAGAGCAGAGCTGGAATTTTTAAATGCAAGAACAAGACTCCTGAGAAACCTAGAAAGGTGAATTTATATGAGCTATTAAAAGGAACTGTGTGATGATGTAGTGCTAACATTCTAATGAGAGAGAAGAAATAAGTGTCTCTTCAGAACCTTAATGTCTTCAAAGGTTATTAAGGGAGTTAAAAAAGAAAAACAAGAGGTTAGGAGGATGGAATGGTTCTATTTTGAGGCTTGGAGAAAAGAAAATAGAAAATAAAAGGAATACAGTAGTGTTGAAAGGAGGAAGGAAAGAATATAATTTGCTATTTCTCATAATTGGAGAGCACAAGAATACATGAACACGGGAAGATGGAAGGAGTGATAAGGAACCTCACTACCATGAGTGTGAAGCACAGTTGAATGAACATGAACACATGCACGTACACAATTTGGTGCAGAAATATGTCAAACTCAACAAGGAAACAATCAGGCATATGGGAGGCTAAAAGGGAGTAATAATAGTTACAAGCAAAACAAACTTCCTGATCCTGAAGGAGGGATTAAGTAGAATCTAAAAAGGTGGGAGAAGGGGTTGCCTCTTGGACAATCTGGGGAATGGCTGGGCAAATCTTGATATATGAATGTGGTAAAATATTACTGCGTTAACAGAAATAGCAAAAGATGACTTCTGAGAATCTTGGATAGCATGATCTGACATAGAATGAAGTGAACATAACCAGATGAACAAAGACAGCAACACTGTAAAGAAAAACAACTTCAAAAGACTAAAGAATTTTTATTAATGCAAATACCAACCCATGTCTCCCAGGAACCTATGATGAGTCATGTTACGTGAGAAGTAATGGACACAAGGTACAGAAAGAGAAATATTTTTTTGGACATGGCCACCAAGTTGATTCATGCTGCGTATTTCTTACAAGGGTGTTTTTTCCCCTTCCCTCTCTTAGTTTTATGAGGTGGGTGCTTTTAAGAGGAATGCGGTTAGCAGTAAGAAAGCCAAGGAAAAAAAAAAGAGGGTTATTGAAATATTTTTTTAAATGCACAGAAGACAACAGAAGAACAGAAGGAAGTTCACAAAGAAGCAAAGACAAGCAGGATGGTTTTGAAAGTAATATGTAAGATTTATTATATAACTATATATTTTAAAGCAAGCAGCATGAAATGGATATCCAGTTTCATAAAGAATCCTCTTTCATTGTTCTATTATATGTATGGAAATGTTCTTTTTTGTTGTTTTTAAGTTTAAAAAGAAAAATGACAACAAAACACCCACTAAACAAACAAACAAACAAAAAATCGAGACTGTCCCTACTCTCAAGGAGCTTTTTTTCTAATACGGGATACACACTCATAGGGGAACAGTGGCCAGGGAAGACCATTTTGTTCTGAGAAGTCACAAAGATGGTAATAATCATACTATGTGTAAGTAAATATCCTTTATTTGGGGTATGTAAATTTT